CTTGGAGCCTCAGCTTCAGGATCTGTCCTTCCAGTGAGCACTCAGGGCTGATTTCCTTCAGAATGGAGAGGTTTGATCTTCTTGCAGTCCATGGGACTCTCAAGAGTCTCCTCCAGCACCAGAATTCAAAAGCATCCATTCTTCGGTGATCAGCCTTCTTTATGGTCCAGCTCTCACTTCCATACATCACTACTGGGAAAACCATAGCTTTAAGTATACGGACCTTTGTTGGCAAGGTGATGTCTCTGCTTTTTAAGATGCTGTCTAGGTTTGTCATTGCTTTCCTCCCAAGAAGCAGGCGTCTTTTAATTTCATGACTGCTTTCACCATCTGCAGTGATCATGGAGCCCAAGAAAGTAAAATCTCTCACTGCCTCCATTTCTTCCCCTTCTATTTGCCAGGAGGTGATGGGACCAGTGGCCATGATCTTGGGGTTTTTTTATGTTGAGCTTCAGACCATATTTTGCACTCTCCTCTTTCACCCTCATATTTAAAGATAGGCTAGCTGCTTATTTCCTTCACATCTGAAGGGAGGACGTTCTGCCTGGTTCCTTGTAACCTCACTTTTCGCAATGAGGGAACCGCCTGAAGGCCCTCGGAGCTGGATCTCAGTGTCCGGGCAGAACGATGGAGGTGGAGACGCTCCTTCAGGTATACTGGACAGAGGCCGTTTAGGGCTTTCAAGGTCAGCACCAACACTTTGAATTGTGCTCGGAAACGTACTGGGAGCCAATGCAGATCTCTCAGGACCGGTGTTATGTGGTTCCGGCAGCCACACCCAATCACCAGTCTAGCTGCCGCATTCTGAATTAATTGCAGTTTCTGGGTGTATCCTCTGTTCAGACAGTAGAGCCAGTGAAGGGTGAAGCCTGGGGAGACTTCTGAGGGCCGGATAGAGAGGAAGGGAGGGCCGAATTGGCTCATGGGTCTGCAGTTCTCTCCCCCCTAGCTTTTGTTGGAGAAAACAAGTCAAGGTGCATGAATATAGTCTCTATGTGTCCCTGGCTGTCTCCCAACTGCCCACATCTTGTGAGGATGCCCAAGTTAGACTTTGGAAATGGTTGTGCTTCAAAACCTCCGAAGACAGAGATTCTTGCATTGTAAGGGGTTGGTCTACAGGACCTTCAGGGTCCCATCCAGCTCTTGTATGATTCTGTGAATCAACAGCAAAGAAAAAAGGCTACTGCAGTTCTAGGCTGCATCAACAAAAGTGCCCAGATCATGAGAAGTCGGTAAAGGTAAAGGGACCCCTGACCATTAGGTCCAGTCGTGGGCGACTCTGGGGTTGCGGTGCTCATCTTGCTTTACTGGCCGAGGGAGCCGGCGTACAGCTTCCGGGTCATGTGGCCAGCAGGAGTAAGCCGCTTCTGGCGAACCAGAGCAGCGCACGGAAACACCGTTTACCTTCCTGCCAGAGTGGTACCTATTTATCTACTCGCACTTTGACGTGCTTTCGAACTGCTAGGTGGGCAGGAGCAGGGACCGAGCAACGGGAGCTTACCCCATCATTGCGGGGATTCGAACCGCCGACCTTCTGATCGGCAAGTCCTAGGCTCAGTGGTTTAGACCACAGCGCCACCCGCATCCCTATACATGAGAAGTCAAAGGGACTTGGAACCTGCCCTGAAATCTTCGTGCTGGCGATGCGAGTCTTTGCGGTTCTGTCGAAAACAAATAAATCCTTGTTTTGCGGACGTGATCCTTCCTGCGTCCTTGTGGAGGGCCTCGCTCCAGAAAGAGCCGCAATGGCTTTCGACCTTATCCTTCCAGCTCCTGTTTTCCCTTACAGCTCTTGAGTGGCGTCTCAATTATTGATGTCCCTCCTTCTCTCTCTCTCTCTCTCTCTCTCTCTCTCTCTCTCTCTCTCCAACTCCCTCTTAGATTCAGCTACTGCATTAGTGATGCTCTGGAAGGCGAAGGCAGGTTGCTATGCCTTGACAAATCATCCCCAAATCCACCGGCAACACCAGGCAGTAAAAAGAATATTTTTTTTTAAAAAAAACCGAGGAAAGAAGAGAGAAAAATCAAGATTTGGCTAGGCTTTATCAGCCGATGGACATAATAACAGGATAGCCTGGCCAAATTCTGCAATGGTTCGTTTCCTGTATTTACTCAGTTTCTTTTTTATATATATAATACTTTTTATTAATTTTAACATATAAATTATAATACATACCACAAAACCTCACCACTTATACAATCTTTTTTGGACCTCAGCACCTCTGATGACCCGCCGTTTTAAACACTTCTTACGCATTTCTTAAATTCATATTGCCTTTAATTATCTTAACTAACCAACCTCCCCTTTATCCATTTTTGCAATAGTTCCAATAATTCTCCTCACAAAACTTCTTGCAAACCTACAAACTTAGTCTGATCATCACAAATAGTCTGTAAATTTACACCAGTCTTCTGTGAATTTCTGGTCCCGCAGATCTCGAATCCTTCCTGTTAGTGTATTGAGTTCTGCATAGTCCATTCATTTCATCCTCCATTCTTCTTTCGTCGGTAATTCTTCTTGCTTCCATTTTTGTGCCAATAATATTCTTGCTGCTGTTATTGCATATAAAAACAACTTACATTCCTTTCTATTTATTTATTTATTTTAATAAATATTTATTAAGGTTTTCACAATATTACAAAATGAGAAAAGAAAAAGAAGAAAAAATACAAAATAAAAATAGTTAAAAACAATTCAATCTTTCTATCATTTATCTTTCATTTGCTTGTTTCCTGGACCTCCTCATACCTCCCTTTTTTGTATTCCAGTTCAATTTATTAGTTCAGCAGTTCCTTTCCCTCCTTAATTTATCCTGATCTTTAATCTTAATATATTATAACATTAAATTTTTACCTGTTAAAAATCCATTTTTTCATATTCTTTTATACCATTACAGCTAGAAACCACTTCAATCCAACATCATTCTAGCATTCATTGATTTTGCAGTATTTCTGTAAATAGTCTTTAAATTTCTTCCAATCTTCTTCCACCGACTCTTCTCCCTGGTCTCGGATACTGCCAGTCATTTCCGCCAATTCCATGTAGTCCATTCCTTTCTATTTATATCACTTCCTACAATGCCCAGTAAAAATGCTTCTGGTTTCTTTATAGATGTATATTTCAACATTTTTTTTCATCCCACTATATATCATCTCCCAGAAGTTACTGTATTTAATCCGTTTCTATCCTGCCTTTTCTCCAAAGGGCACAAGGCAGTGCAAACGGTTCTCCCCGCTCCTTATTCCGCCATCGCAACAACCCTGAGAGGTAGGCCGGGCCAAGAGGCCGCGACTGAACACCTGCTCTCCAAGGCCACCCCAAGTGAGGATCATGACTGCGAGGAGTGGGATTTGAACTCGGGTCCTAATCAAGTGATCTTAACTATCAGAGCGCAATGGAGAGAGCCTGCTGGATTGGCCCACCTACACCTGCATTTCCCCCTCGATGTAGTCAAGCCTAGTGGGAAGGCCCTCAGAGCTGGACCTCAGTGTCCGGGCTGAACGATGGGGGTGGAGACGCTCCTTCAGGTCTACTGGACCGAGGCCGTTTAGGGCTTTAAAGGTCAGCACCAACACTTTGAATTGTGCTCAGAAATGTCCTGGGAGCCAACGTAGATCTTTCAGGACCGGTGTTATGTGGTCTCAGCGGCCGCTCCCAGTCCCCAGTCTAGCTGCCGCATTCTGGATTAGTTGTAGTTTCCGGGTCACCTTCAAAGGTAGCCCCACGTAGAGCGCATTGCAGTAGTCCAAGTGGGAGATAACCAGAGCATGGACCACTCTGGCCAGACAGTCCGCGGGCAGGGAGGGTCTCATCCTGCATACCAGATGGAGCTGCCCTGGACACAGAATTGACCTGCGCCTCCATGGACGGCTGTGAGTCCAAAATGACTCCCAGGCGACGCACTTGGTCCTTCAGGGGCACAGTTGCCCCATTCAGGACCAGGGAGTCCTCCACACCTGCCCGTCTCCTGTCCCCCCAAAACAGTACTTCTGTCTTGTCAGGTTTCAACTTCAATCTGTTAGCCACCATCCATCCTCCAACCGCCTAAGAATACTAAAAAACATTCTTCTTCAGACCAGCCTACCTAGAGGCTTAGAAAGTCCCAGTGGATTTTAATCCGTTTCAGCCTTGTAACTTTTGTATGTTTTAAAGTAGGGCTGTAAATTTTATTATTATTATTATTTCACTGTTTTATATTTTGTAAACTGGGTGTGTGCGCACGTTTGTCTGTTTCAAACCCAATCAAGCGGTGTAGAGTGTTTGAAAAATAAATATTTTGTGAAAGAAATACCATACTTTTCCGTGTATGAGACTCGGGTTTTGTTTTTTACTAAAAAATGTTAAGAAAGGGGAGGTAGTCTTATACACGGGGGCAATCTCCCCATTTTCTTAATTTTGAGCCCCCCAAAATAGGGGGCAATCTTATACATGGGAGCATGTTATACACGAAGAAATACGGTACGTGTTCCGGGAACCACACCCTGAGATATATGTATGAAGGGCGGTATATTAATATTAATAATAAATATAACATGAACCACCCAGAGATATTTTTATGAAGGGCAGCATATTATATCACCACCACCATAAATAAATTAACAATTTATTAACAAATTAATAAATTAATAAGAAGCCAATGGTGTGTCAAAGAGCTATTTAACTCAAGTTGTTTTTCTTTGAGACTTTTGGACGTCTCGGTTTCCAGATTTCCTGTATGAAACAAGAAGAGGTGGTGTATGTACATCTTATCTCAAGGGATAACTGGCCCAGGAGCCAAGATGCCGCCTGAGGCTATATAGGGCCAAGAGAACACCCATTGGCTCACTTCTGTCACCTGACAGCCAGGAGGACACCCATTGGCTTATTTCTAGCACCCGGCAGCCAACCAGGCAGGAGCTGCACTACCACCACCGGCCCACTAGGGGGAGCTCTAGCAGATCCCGGGGTGAGGTTTTGTCTCCCTCTGGTGGCAATAAACAGTCAACACAAGGAAAACAGCTGCAATTTTAACCAACCATCTGATTTCTTTTATTTGAAAAAGGCACAGCTAAGACACCCTTAATACAGAATTAATTTCTCTCAGTTCCTCTTAATATATAGGTCAAGTGATTAATAAACACATGAAGCAAACAAAGGTTTCTTTTTTCTTTTCTTTTCTTCCTTCTTTCCTTTTTTTCTCCTCTCTTCCTCTAAAGGAATATATACAAACACGAAAATCTCTCTCTTTTTTTTTTGTCTTAAAATTTCTTTCGTTAAATGGGGTTGGGGATAAAGAGTCAAGCTAGCTTACAGAAAGAGAAGACAAAGTTGCAGTATCCTTTTCAAAAAAAAACGACAACAGTGAGAGTTCAAAACAAAAACATCAAAAAGTGAGGAGGGGGGGTTGAGAATTGTCGTATTTTTCTCCCCCCTTACCACCCTTCTCCCCTTTCCCACAACTCAAACCTTTCAGGGGATGAGGAAGAAATAATGAAAAGGACATCAGCCGCTGGGATACTGGGAAGAACCTAGATTTGCAAGAATGTGGGTCACAGATAAGGAAGGGTGTGTGTGTTTTTTTTTTGGGGGGGGGGGAACCGACACCACGTCAAAAGTCACCCGGAAGGAGGAATATGGGATGAATATATTTATATATTTATAGATATAGATATATATAAAAAAATTCCGATTCTGTGCTACCTTAAAAACGAGACACATGCAAAAATAAAAATTAAAAAGGACAAAAGGTGCTCATTTGTCTAAAACTGCACCGGCGGGGAAGGGGATCTGAAGAATGTGTGCATCAAGAGAGAGAAAGAAAGAAAAATCGCTTGTGGGAGCCGCGATGCGCAGGAACGGCGGGGGAAGTTAAGCAACGGGGAGTTGCAGCGTGGATTAAATCCGAACCGGAGAGGACTGGCAGATAATGGAGGTTCTTGATGGGTAACGGGGCGAGCGCGGGAAGGAACGCGAAAAACTTCCTAGGTGCTTGTTGGCACGTGCGTAGTACTACGCACAACAGGGGCGGCGTTCGGGAATGCCGGGGTTTTTTTTGCCGGCAGCTTGACGGACAGGTTTCCTTCTGGGGGCGGGACTGCAACCTGCTGGTGGGCGGGGCCAGAGGCGAAACTGGGCGTGGCAAACAGGCAGCGGGCGAGTTTTGACACCCACCCTCTCCATCGAGGCGAGCGGGACGTGTTTTCGGAGGGCACCTTCCAGCCGGGCCAAAGGACTCGGGAATTGTGCGGAATGGGGTCAGCAAAGGATCACGAGTTGTGGAGGCTTCTGGGGGGCCGAATGAAGACGTCTCGGGGGCCGCCACCAGCCCCTGAAGGTACGTCCTTCCCAGGTTAGGCAGAAGCGACGCACGCTCAAGGTTTGGAGGAACATCAAAGCACGGTTCTCCATTCCGCAAGCCATCTCCTCTACTGGTTTGGTGGTTCGGAAAACATCACTTGGGGCAAATGTTGGTGTACAGGAATTTTTCTGCTTGCTTTCTTACTAAAACCTTGAGGGCTGCAGAAAAAGAGGGGTTTGGAGACCAGAGTCTAATGCAACTTGGGGAGCAGCGCCAAAGATCATCTCCACCCCACAAGCCACACCTTGCAGGCCGGATTTCCTAACACTTAGGTAAAGGTAAAGGACCCCGGACGGTTAAGTCCAGCCAAAGTTGACTATGGGGTTGCGGCGCTCATCTCGCTTTCAGGCCAAGGGAGCGGGCGTTTGTCCGCAGACAGCTTTCCGGATCATGTGGCCAGCAGGACTACGGGCGCAACGGGACACCGTGATGGAAACCAGAGCAAACGGAAACACCGTTTACCTTCCCGCCGCAGCGGTACCTATTTATCTACTTGCACTGGTGTGGTTTTGAACTGCTAGGTTGGCAGGAGCTGGGACCGAGCAATGGGAGCTCACCCCGTTGCGGGGATTCGAACCGCGCCACTTAACGCAGGGCTCGCAAACCGTTTCGAGCCAGGGGGCGCGCATGGATTTTGCACCAGTCCCGAAATGGCTGTGGCAAGGAGTGCAGCGTAGCACAAATTGGCTGCCCACAGAGCTGAGCCCGTAGAAGCACAAACTGGGCAGGAAGAGCAAAGTTTCTCGCATGCTACGAATTTTTGAGGGCGTTATTTACGGAGACCTTTCGCGAGTGATGGGACACGCTGGGGCCCATGGGTGCTGCACTGGTGACCCCTTGAACTTGTTTATTTAATTTGTCAAGCTGCAATCCTAACCCCTTACCTGGAAGCAAGCCCTACTGAATATGATTTGCTTCTGAGTAGACCCAGTTAGGACTGCACCATCGGTCACCTAAAACAGGGCAGTGGGTTTTTAAAACTACCAAGAAGTCTCAAAATGACTAGATGTGGAGAAGGTAATTTTTTTGGAGGGGTCCTTTTCGTTGTTGGACAACCAGGACTCGGAAACTTCCCCAGAACTACTGCAAAGCATTTAGCCACCCCATGACGAATTCCCACCTATGGCCTGATTTCCCCCCTGCTATCTGCGAAGACCGGTTGTTCTCCATTTTGTAAAACTCAAAAAAGCAGCCTCTCTTATACAGCGGCTCGGGACGATCTCCCCCTAGATTCTGCAAAAAGCCACTGTTTGGACTTCTGCCACGCTAGGTGCGGAACAGCAAGCGGTTATGGGTGGCCCTGGAGCATATACAGAGTTCCCGGCAAGCCGCTGGCAGGTGGTGGCAATTTTGTCGAGGGAAGCTAGCGTTCCGATGCAAGCATTCCCACACAGAAAAATCAAAATTAATCGGGGTGGTGTTCACCTGCAATTCATTGTAGAGTGATCAGGATTGTGCCTCTGGGTAAAATTGCTCCGGCAACGGGGGGCTGGAATTCCAAAAAGGGGGGGGGACCCAAAAACATTATTGCTGCAGAGGTGGGCGGGGCAGGCTAACTCCTCCCCCTCCCTGCCCCTGCCAAACAACACCAACGGGTCCACCGAGCGCTAGCCGGAGTGGATACCGCAACTTTTACTGAGCTTTCCCCTTTTGTGCCACCGCCGCCCCAGGATCCCCCCGCCGAAACCGGGTCTAATCCGACTTCTCCCCGTCGTCGTCCTGGTGGGCGTCCCCGTCGTGGCCGTTCTTGTCTTCCTTGGAGAGGTGGGCTTGCGAGCCGAGGGCGGACAGGGACAGCAAGCCGGTGCTGGCGCTGACAGCCGGGAGCGACGGGGGCTGCAGCCCCACGGGCAGCGGGGTCAACGGCAAGGCGAGAGCTTGGAGCTGGGAGAGCTGGTGAGCCTGGAGCTGCTGCTGTAGGGAAACGAGAAAGCAGAGGAAAAGGGGAGGGGACAAAGGGATGGGTGAGTGGGGCTTGCAAAGGGAGCGGACTGCAAACCACCTCTGCAAAAAAATCACATTATCAGTTCTGTTCGCATGCGGGCAAAATGGAGTATTTCTACAGCAGAGGGAGCATGCTTCGTTTTTTTAAAAAAGCTTTGGGATGAGGAACCTGCGGCCTTCCAAATTTTGCCGGACTACAAAGTCCATCCTCCACGAGCACCAGTTGCAGGTGATGGGAATTGTAGTACAACAGCCAGAGCCCCCGTTCCTGTTTTGGGTGAAGCATCGGGGACAGCAAAGCTCTGGGATGCGGAACCTGCGGCCTTCCAAATTTTGCTGGACTACGAAGTCCATCCTCCACGTGCACCAGTTGCAGGTGATGGGAATTGTAGTACAACAACGCACAGAGCCCCCATTCCTGGTTCGGGTGAAGCATCAGGGACGGCGAAGTTTTGACCCGCCACCAAGAGGGAGTTGTCGGCAGTGTGGGAAGAAAACCCGGAAGTTTGCCCAAAAGGGCAAGTTAATGGGAGGGCACTCCAACCAGACATCGAAGCGAGGACTGGCCGTGCACAGTAGCCATGGCATGTTCATCAACTGATGTGGGGTGGAGAAGGGAAAACATTGGGGGGAGGGAGGGGGAGTTAACAGGTCAACTCCCGTGTCCAGGGCAGCTGTCTACCAGCTTCATCTGGTACGCAGTCTGAGACCCTACCTGCCCACAGACTGTCTCACCAGAGTGGTGCATGCTCTAGTTATCTCTCGCTTGGACTACTGCAATGTGCTCTATGTGGGGCTACCTTTGAAGGTGACCCGGAAACTACAACTAATCCAGAACGCGGCAGCCAGACTGGTGACTGGGACCGGCCGCCGAGACCATATAACACCGGTCTTGAAAGACCTACATTGGCTCCCAGTATGTTTCCGAGCGCAATTCAAAGTGTTGGTGCTGACCTTTAAAGCCCTAAACGGCCTTGGCCCAGTAGACCTGAAGGAGGCGTCTCCACCCCCATCGTTCAGTCCAGACACTGAGATCTATCTCCGAGGGTCTTCTGGCGGTTCCCTCCCTGCGAGAAGTGAGGTTACAGGGAACCAGGCAGAGGGCCTTCTCGGTGGTGGCTCCCTCCCTGTGGATCGCCCTCCCATCAGATGTCAAAGAAAACAAGAACTACCAGACTTTTAGAAGACATCTGAAGGCAGCCCTGTTTAGGGAAGCTTTTAATGTTTGATGTATCACAGTATTTTAATATTTTTTTGGAAGCCGCCCAGAGTGGCTGGGGAAGCCCAGCCAGATGGGCGGGGTATAAATTATTCTTATTATTGGAGAATTTTGGGAAAGACCATAGCCGGCCAGAATCCTGAACAGTGACAAACTACACAGCAACACTTTGTTGCAGGTCCTACACCTTAAAGTATCTTTGGTCTACGGGAGAAAAGGAGAGACATCTCTTTTAAGAAGGTCTTGTGGGCCCCAATAACTTGTGTTCACAGGAGCCACTTTTAGAAACATGGGGGAGGGGACAATTCCGCCCCAGAAAATACCCAAGATGCAATTTCCCCCATGAGCCAAGTGCCCGGTGGCCCAATATCCCCCACTCCAGAAGGGAGAGACTTTGCTATCCTAGGCCGTTTTTCGAATTAAAAAAAATCTAAACCCTATCCAGTTGGGACCTTGGCGTTTTTCTCAGCAGCATGTGAAATACCGTATTTTTTGCTCTATAAGACTGACTTTTCCCCTCCTAAAAAGTAAGGGGAAATGTGTGTGTGTCTTATGGAGCGAATGCAGGCTGCGCAGCTATCCCAGAAGCCAGAACAGCAAGAGGGATTGCTGCTTTCGCTGCCCAGCGATCCCTCTTGCTGTTCTGGCTTCTGAGATTCAGAATATTTTTTTTCTTGTTTTCTTCCTCCAAAAACTAGGTGCGCCTTGTGGTCTGGTGCATCTTATAGAGCGAAAAATACGGTAACTTTCAAAATAAGCTCCACAACTTTGACCTGAAACCAACCCCCTGCAACAAAGCTGTAGATCACTGCCAGTTTTTAATTCTGGGAGAGTTGGCTGTCCCTGTTATAGCCAAACCAGTCATTTTTGATTAAAAACTACTCTGAAAAATTTATTATTTCAAAATATGAAACCTTCATCTGGTTGCAAATATTATGATAATGTGCCAACAAGAACGAGTCTTTCTGTAAAAAGAAGATTTAAATCAAGTCTGACTACCCTGGTTTTTGTTAACGCCATTATTGGGTGGGGCAGACAAAACAGTTCTTTCCCCTTTTGGGTAGCCGGTCTGGAGGGGACGTCTTCGACGGCAACTCGCAGAGGAGCCAAGGTGGGTATTTAAGGAAGATGGGAAAGGGAGGGTGGGGGGAAACGACAGGAGTGTACTAACAAACCTGAAATTTAGGGGCCACGGGAAACTGAGCATCCCAGGGCTCCTTGCTGATGTTGTCACGGGCCGCAAGAATGCCACAAGAAAGCAATCAAAAGTGGTGTCAGATCCCCAGTCCGTGCTGCGTTTACACTGGGTCGCTTGTTACGTCTCTCAGCCTAGCCAACAGGGGTGGGCTTCCCAGTAGCTCCCCACAAACCCCATCAAGCTTGACCACTAGGCATGCTTGCTGAGGCGGAAGGGAGTTCAACAACCGCTGGAGGTGCCAGCGAGCCTTCTTAGCTCTGACCTACAGGGTTGCTGCGAGGATAAAATGGCTGGGAGCCATGCCCCGTGACCCAGAAGCCGGGATAACAACATGACAAGTAACGCATAGCTCAATTCACAAGAGGTTGCCCGTTGAGCTTCTGAACGAGTCACTGTTCTGCCTTGCCTCCGCTAAGGGAGTGGGTACATGCGGCACATCAGGTGCGGAGAGAGCAAGTGAGATGCACAGCGGGGCGACCCCCCTAGAGGGTGCCTGTCGTCTCCCTGCACGAGTCCCCGATTTCGGGCTCTTTTCAGAGTTTGGCCCCAAGCGTGACAGAGTCGTTGGGACGGCTCCTTCAGAAGCTGAGCCAAATGGCGCTTGCTCCCCAGGAAAGTGAGGACCGTAGCCAACGAAGAGCCAGCCCAGAGCAGTGACTCATTCGGAAGGCAATGGATACAATCTAGGGCTTCAGATTACAACTCTCAGCTGCCCCCCAGCCAGTATGAAACTGGGAGCGGATGGGAGCTGTACTCCAAAACCCCTGCAAGGCAAAGTTTGCTTTAAACAAGTAAACCTTTGCGGGTGTAAGAGTAGCAGACGTTCACCCATATCCCCTCCAGGTTGGAGTTTACAACACAGGAATCCAGGTACAGTGGTACCTTGGTTGTCGAACTTAATCCATTCTGGGAGTCCATTCGACCCCCGGAACCATTCGAAAACCAACACGCAGCTTCTGATTGGCTGCAGGAACTTCCTGCATCCAATCGGAAGCCGCGCTTGATGTTCGGTTTCCGAAAAACGTCCGCAAACCGGAACACTCACTTCCAGGTTTGCGGCGTTCAGGAGCCGACCTGTTCGACAACCGAGGTACCACGGTATTAATAATAATAACAACCAGTGCTTTTTTCTGAAAAAAAAATGTTTAGGGGTCCTCTCATTTTGACTCGAGAAAACCACCGTTTTATAGTTCAAATTGGGAACAATAAATACAGTAGACAAGCAAAAGTACAAATATTCACGAAATGTTTCGGGGTATGCGTTCCCCAAGAAAAAAAGCACTAATAATAATAATAAGCAATAGTGATTTATTTGCACATTCTCAGCAAGATGCAAAAGCAACGTGCAGGATTCCTCCCCCCTTTTAGTTATCGAAGTAAGCTCTCCGCAGTCCTAGCCCAACGCTAACCACTATGCTCTCCTCCCTCTCAGGGGAAGGAGCGCCAATGCTCTTCCCTCCTACCCACCGCCCAGTTCCCGTACGGAACGCCACGGACCCGGATGATAGAGTTGAGTTCCGGCGCTGTCACTTGCTTGGCTCGTTCAATGGCTCCGAGGACCTGTTGTTGATGCTGGAGAAATAGAAAGCAAATAACAACAAAACCACACACATATTCCACTGGTAGGGCAGCAAGGAGGTCCAGGAACAAGGGGGCAGCAAGGGACGCGGGGAGATCAACGGACGGAACAGTTTCAAAGAGGGACTCGGCAGCGGTCGAGCCAAAATAAATGCCGGAGCGAGGGTGAGATTTGCCCGGGACTCGGATTTCTGGAGCTCCTACACACCCAGCCATGTTACAAGCAGAACGTCAGGTCTTCCCAAGACGTTCACCTCTGGCTCAGAGGTAGATTGGGCCTCTGAACATCAGCAAGGAGCCCTGGGATGTGCGGTTTCCCATGGCGCCCAAATATTTCGGTGATATCAGGCACCCCGAAATCTAAGCATCCTAAAGTGCACTTTGGAGAGGAAGGCCTGGGGTGTGGTTGTGAGCATGCAAGGAGCCCTGGGAGGTATAGTTCCCAGGGCACCCTGTTTTCCCTGCTGAGTTCTCAGGTGCCCTGGGAAACTCAATATCCCAGGAGCACTGGTGTCCGGCACACTGTTATTCAGTGTGTCAGGTATGGGGTGAAGGACAGGAGGCTTTCAGGTTGGTAGGGAGAGAAGGAATGGGGTTGGTGCCCTGTCACACTAGGCCCTGTCACACTCCCAGTGATGTCACCAAGAGTGTGCCAAGTCACCAAGCCCAAAAGCAAGCCGAGTGAAGTCTGCCCTCCTTAGGAAAGATGAAGTTGCTCTAGAAAGTGGTGGGGAATATCTTTGTTTTTTCAGTGATGAAATCTAACCCTATTCTCCCCCATTTGCAAAAAAAAAAAGAAGAAGAAGGGAGAGAGGAGTTACCTCTTGGGAAAGATAGGGCAACACTTGAGCACAGATCCCGTTTAACCTCTTGACAATTTCGGCCTGAAATGGAAGACAGAAAGAGTCAACGTGAAGACAGAAGGAGTCAACGTGAAGACAGAAAGCTTCAACATGAAGACAGAAGGAACATCAATCGAAAAGATGCCAACTCAAGTCTTTCAAACACCGTGGTGGCAGTGGTGCAGGCCAGGGCTGATGTGAGGTGCAGCCCAAAACATCTGGAAGACACCAGTTTGGGGGGAAAATGTACACTAGCCACTTTTGTGACTTAATCTCACCTCACCTATGAATTCACAAATCTTAGCTCTGGGATTGTAGACACTGGCTTATTTTACAGGGTCATTGTAAACGTTTGATGTTACAGAGGATTTGATATCAAAAATATGGGATGTGGTATATACGGTGAAACTAAGGAGTGTCGTTAAGTAGGGAAGGAAGACCGCTTAATCGTTTTATTGGAAAACTGAACGCTTTCACCACTGATGCAAAAACCCCAGTATATTTTAAGAGAAAAGCGTGCCTAAACTGTGCATTTTAGGAGGGAAAGGGTATGCAAAAACGAGTATTTTGAGGACAAAATGCATACAAATATGCATTTGTTTCTGGGGGAGAGAGAGCATTTGTTGTTGTTTAGTCGTTTCGTCGTGTCCGCCTCTTCGTGACCCCCTGGACCAGAGCACGCCAGGCCCTCCTGTCTTCCACTGCCTCCCGCAGTTTGGTCAAACTCCTGCTGGTAGCTTCGAGAACACTATCCAACCATCTCGTCCTCTGTTGTCCCCTTCTCCTTGTGCCCTCCATCTTCCCCAACATCAGGGTCTTTTCCAGGGAGTCTTCTCTTCTCATGAGGTGGCCAAAGTCTTGGAGCCTCAGCTTCAGGATCTGTCCTTCCAGTGAGCACTCAGGGCTGATTTCCTTCAGAATGGAGAGGTTTGATCTTCTTGCCGTCCATGAGACTCTCAAGAGTCTCATCCAACACCATAATTCAAAAGCATCCATTCTTCGGCGATCAGCCTTTTTAATGGTCCAGCTCTCACTTCCATACATCACTACTGAGAAAACCATAGCTTGAACTATACGGACCCTTGTTGGCAAGGTGATGTCTCTGCTTTTTAAGATGCTGTCTAGGTTTGTCATTGCTTTCCTCCCAAGAAGCAGGCGTCTTTTAATTTCGTGGCTGCTGTCACCATCTGCAGTGATCATGGAGCCCAAGAAAGTAAAATCTCTCACTGCCTCCATTTCTTCCCCTTCTATTTGCCAGGAGGTGATGGGCCCAGTGGCCATGATCTTGGGTTTTTTTGATGTTGAGCTTCAGACCATATTTTGCGCTCTCCTCTTTCACCCTCATTAAAAGGTTCTTTAATTCCTACTCACTTTCTGCCATTAAAAATACTAATTTTTGTTTTTTAAAAAAGAAACCACAGCTCAATGCAGACCTGAGCAGGCTCTAAGTCAAAAAAAGGACTTGCTCCATTCTTCCCTACAGGGAGACAACAGAGGGGCTGGCTAAGGGACCCTGCGGTCTGGGGGCAAGCTGAGTTAAGGGTAAACCGCCATGAGGCCTACAAAGCTGCGCCTTACCTGTTTGTGCATTTCAATATTTAGCCCATAGGACATCTCGTAGTACTGGAAGGGGTAGAGGAGATGGAGAGGAAGAGTTAGGATTTGAGGAAGGAAAAGAACAACAGCAAAATAGGGTAAGAATCACCTTAGCCTTCTTCTGCTCCTTCACCTATTTCAGATACACCAACCCTGTACCTGGAAGCTCTACTTTGCTACCGCAATGAGACGTCCGTGAGGATGAGTTTGCACGGATCAAGACTCAAGGCTCATCCCGTATATACAGTGGTAGCTCGGGTTACATACGCTTCAGGTTACAGGCTCCGCTAACCCAGAAATAGTGCTTCAGGTTAAGAACTTTGCTTCAGGATGAGAACAGTAATCGCAGCGGGAGGCCTCATTAGCTAAAGTGGTGCTTCAGGTTAAGAACAGTTTCAGGTTAAGTACGGACCTCCGGAACGAATTAAGTACTTAACCCGAGGTACCACTGTAATCTAGATAACCACACGGCAGACCTCTGTGTGTCTTTGTTTGGTTTTTAACTAGGCTAACGGTAGCAAATGATAGCAGCAGCAGCAGCGAACGATAAATTCATTCGGCCGGAAGAGACTTGTTCCGCTGGTGAAATCTTTCATGCCTGCGGGGCGCTGTTAAGAATCGTGGAGTTGGAAGGGGACACTCCCCCCCAAAGATCATCTAGCCCATGGGTAGGCAAACTAAGGCCCAGGGGCTGGATCTGGCCCAATCGCCTTCTAAATCCGTCCTGCGGACGGTCCGGGAATCAGCGTGTTTTTCATGAGTAGAACGTGCCCTTTGATTTAAAATGCATCTCTGGGTTATTTGTGGGGCTTGCCTGGTGTTTTTACATGAGTAGAACGTGTCCTTTTATTTAAAATGCATCTCTGGGTTATTTGTGGGGCATAGGAATCTGTTCATTCCTTTTTTCAAAATATAGTCCAGCCCCCCACAAGGTCTGAGGGACAGTGGACTGCCCCACAGCTGAAAAAGGCCACTGACCCCTGACTAGCCCATGGGTAGGCAAACTAATGGCCGGGGGCCGGATCCAGCCCAATCACCTTCTAAATCCAGCCTGCAGACGGTCAGCATGTTTTTACATGAGTAGAATGTGTGCTTTTATTTAAAATGCATCTCTGGGTTATTTGTTTGGAATAGGAATTCGTTCATTTTTTTTCCTTCTCCAAAATATAGTCTGGCCCCCCACAAGGTCTGAGGGACGGTGGACCGGCCCATGGCTGGAAAAGTTTGCTGACCCCTGATATTCTAGCCCAAACCCTTGCGATGCAGGAGTCATAGCTGAAGACAGCCAACCTCTGCTTACAAAACTCAAAGGGGTGTGAGTCCACCACCTCTTGAGGAAGCCTGTTCCTCTGGTGATCTTACCGCCAGAAAGCTCTCCCTAACGTTTCCTTGCAATCTCCCTCTCTTGCAATTTTGAACCCGTAGGTTCGGGGCCCTGCCCTTTGGAAAAGCAGAAAACAATCTCGCTCCCCTCTTCCCTTCAGATATTTGAAGCTGGGCTCTCTTCTCTCCTCTCAGTCTCTCCTTTCCCAGGCTAAACATACCTAGCTGCTTCAACCGTTCCTCATCAGGCTCGGCTTCTAGACTCAACCTTCCAGCTTGTCAATTTCCATCTTATAGGTAAAGGTAAAGGGACCCCTGACCGTTAGGTCCAGTCGTGGCCAACTCTGGGGTTGCGGCGCTCATCTCGCTTTACTGGCCGTGGGAGCCGGTGTACAGCTTCCGGGTCATGTGGCCAGCAGGACTAAGCCGCTTCTGGCGAACCAGAGCAGCACACGGAAACGCCATTTACCTTCCTGCCGGAGCTGTACCTATTTAGCTACTTGCACTTTGACGTGCTTTCGAACTGCTAGGTTGGCAGGAGCAGGGACCGAGCAACGGGAGCTCACCCCGTCATTGCGGGGATTCGAACCGCCGACTTTCTGATCGGCAAGTCCTAGGCTCTGTGGTTTAACCCACAGCGCCACCCGCGTCCCAATCCATCTTATACTGGACAGCTTTTAACTTCTTTGTGGTTCTATGACGGCACTTGTACATCTCTCTCGCCACCCCTCACCACCACCACAAATTTACTCCAGGGGATGCTCTGAAAATTTTTTTCTGGGGCGGGGGCACATAGAGGGCATCCAGATTTGCCGTTCAAGCTTTTAAAGACACAATCACATTTTAATATTTTGGTGGGGAGGGTGTTATTGGAAACCACATTGCGAGGGCAGCCGTCCTCTTAAAGGAGGCGAATGGGGGGGGAAAATCTCAAACGAATCCAATCCCACCTTCATGTGGACTAGGAGGTTTTTCAAAAAGGCAAAAACGCAGATTCCTTTTTTTGTGTGGCTTCTGTGCAGCCTCTGCATAGAATCCTGCCGCACATGGAATCAGATGGTGGTTTGGCTTTTCCCCCTATTCTTTTCTTCGTTCTCGCCCCCTCCACCCCCTTTCTATAGCTGATAGTTTCCTGGGAGATAATACATCTCCCTATTATCTCGCCGTTCCAGGGGAAGCGCCGACGCGCGGCTGGAGCTCTGGAAATCTTTTCAGCCGCCCTTAATGACACCCTGGCGGAGGGAAACAAAAAGCCATCGAACTGGAATCACCAACACACAGAGAGAGACAGGGACCTTAAGCCTGCTGGGCCCACCCTAGCCCGGAATATTCCCCATCCGCTCAGCCTAATTGAAAGCCCTAAACGGCCTCGGTCCTGTATACCTGAAGGAGCGTCTCCACCCCCATCGTTCAGCCCGGACACTGAGGTCCAGCGCCAAGAACCTTCTAGCAGTTCCCTCCTTGCGAGAAGTGAGGTTACAGGGAACCAGACAGAGGGCCTTCTCGGTGGTGGCGCCCGCCCTGTGGCACGCCCTCCCATCAGATGTCAAGGAAATAAGCAGCTATCTTATCTTTAAAAGGCATCTGAAGGCAGCCCTGTTTAGGGAAGTTTTTAATACTTAACGCTGTATTGTTTTTAACACTCGATTGGGAGCCGCCCAGAGCGGCTGGGGAAACTCAGCCAGATGGGCGGGGTATAAATAATAAATTATTATTATTATTATTATTTCAATAACCGTTTCACAAACCAAAGCGCCAATTCGGGGCGCTGAGCAAAAATTCAGCCCCGAGAGGTCCCACCAAACATTGCCCCATATGCTCTCTTTAAGTTTCTAATCTTTAAGACTAGAAACCCAATGCTTAGATTTCTCTTACCTGCCAAATTTGACCCTCCTTCCCTTGATTGTTATTTTATGTAAACTGTGTTACTTTTATTGTTAGCCACTCTGAGCCCAGCTTTGGCTGGGGAGGGCGGGATATAAATAATAATAATAATAATAATAATAATAATAATAATAATCAGATAGCCAATTTGTCCTTTTTTTTTGGTTGGCGGATGACGACACCCTTTAACCTTTCCAAAAAGTACTTTTTGTTGTTGTTATGGAATTTATTCATTTTCAGTAACAACCTTCCAACGAACGACAAATCAAATCGATCCAAATTACAATATTAACAATACACCAATTATATATTCAAATTATAAAAATTTTCTTGGGACTTCCCATGTTCCAGATGTCTAGAGATACAGTGGTACCTCGGGTTACATACGCTTCAGGTTACAGGCTCCGCTAACCCAGAAATAGTGCTTCAGGTTAAGAACTTTGCTTCAGGATGAGAACAGAAATCGTGCTCCGGCGGCAGCAGGAGGCCCCATTAGCTAAAGTGGTGCTTCAGGTTAAGAACAGTTTCAGGTTAAGAACAGACCTTCGGAACGGATTAAGTACTTAACCCGAGGTACCACTGTAATCATCCTCATCCTCTCTGCATTTTGGGTATTTTTCAAATTCAAAACTAATATAATCCATCCTTTTAATAGCCTGCTCATATCGAGACGGAATCCCCGCCTCAGGAAAAGGGGAATCACAGGTCCAGGAACTCTGCTTCGCGCCCCAAGTGCTTTGCCTGACCGGAAATGTTGTCATGGGACCCCGGAACCGTAGAATTGGAAGGGACCCCAGGAGGTCATCCAGCCCAACCCCCTTGCGAGGCAGGAATCTTTGGCCCAATGTGGGCTCGAACCCGCAACCCAGAGATTAACAAGTCTACTGGAATTCTGATCGTTTAGAGGTCCCGGGCCCTAAGGAAGTCAGACTATCCTCCACCAGGGCCAGGGCCTTCTCAGTGATGGTTCCGACCTGGTGGAATGCTCTGTCCCATGAGACCAGGGCCCTGCAGGATTTAAGCTCCTTCCGTCGGGGCTGTAAGACGGAGCTATTCTGCCTGGCCTTTAATTTGAATTCAGCCTGATCTTTTATTCCCCTTCCTTTCCTCCCCCTCCCCTTTTTATTAAGATTACACGCTCTGGGATCCCACTAATTTTCCCCTGGCTCCTCGCTGGCCCAAGTAGGACTAATTCAGACAGTGAATTATCTAATGCTTATTAGATGGATTACCTCTAAATTGATTTCTGAACTTTGATTTTATTGTTATTCAGGGCAGCTAACACCAGTCAAGGGACGCGGGTGGCGCTGTGGGTTAAACCACAGAGCCTAGGGCTTGCCGATCAGAAGGTCGGCAGTTCGAATCCCTGCAACAGGGTGAGCTCCCGTTGCTCGGTCCCTGCTCCTGCCAACCTAGCAGTTCAAAAGCACGTCAAAGTGCAAGTAGATCAATAGGTACTGCTCCGGCGGGAAGGTAGACGGCGTTTCCGTGCGCTGCTCTGGTTCGCCAGAAGCGGCTTAGTCCTGCTGGCCACATGACCCGGAAGCTGGACGCCGGCTTCCTTGGCCAATAAAGCGAGATGAGCGCCACAACCCCAGAGTCGGCCACGACTGGACCTAATGGTCAGGGGTCCCTTTACTTAACACCAGTCAAATTACAATAAAAAATTATTTTAAAAAACCTCCAATTTAAAATACAGGTTAAAATATGATTTAAAATGTAGCGTCATTTTAATAGTAGCCCATAGATCAAAACCATAAGGGTCAGACTGAGTCCAAACCAAAGGCCAGGCGGAACAGCTCTGTCTTGCAGGCCCTGCGGAAAGATGTCAAATCCCGCAGGGCCCTGGTCTTTTGTGACAGAGCGTTCCACCAAGTCGGGGCCAGCGCCGAAAAGGCCCTGGCCCCAGTTGAGACCAATCTAACCACCTTGCGACCTGGGACCTCCAAAGTGTTGTCACCCGTGGTACATGGCTCCTGCTTGGCACTGCGGAAGCCCCCGACCCCAAAAGGCATCGCTGTGGGGGGAGCTGGTTCCATCCGAAACCCCAGCCAACTTTGACAATACAATGGGACCATAGCTGTCAACTTGCAGATTTGAAAATAAGGGATCAGCAGCCTCGAGAATAAGGGATCAGCAGCCAAAATAAGGGATTTTCCAGGCACAGGTATGTTCCACTTCTGAGCCCCTCCGAGCCAAAGGCAGAAAGCCCAGCCAGCAGCCAAACGAAGCCTCAAGCGGTGGTTCCCACAGCGCAGCAACCCCGCAAAGGGGATGCAGCAAGGAAAACCACCGTCACCTCTCCGCTGGGAAGCGCTGAGCAAAGGCTGGTCCCCAGGCAATGCGGCCGATTTGATTGGCACAAGACATGCAAGCTCCACCCCCCAGTCGTTCTTAGACTCCTTATTGGGTGAGCAACGCAGCCAAGCAACACAGTTGGAGCCTCCCTCCTCCCTGGCCGGCAGGGAGGGGGGGAGAGGAGCTGCTTCCTTTGAAACCCGGGAGATTTAAGAGACATCATCAGTAAGGGACAGCAGCAGGACACAGCGCTGGGATAAGGGACTTTCCCGCCAAATAAGGGACAGTTGACAGCTATGGATGGGCCCTATATTGTCTGAGCTTTCCAAGGCAAGGAGTTAAAGGCTCTTTAACCTCGGCTAGTTTGAAAACGGTGTCGCCCCAACAGGGCCTTGATCTTGTGTCCGTCCCCGCAACCCCCCTTGCGGCACTGCCATCTCCCGCCCCGGCGAGCGCCCGGCCGCGAGTGCGAAACCTACCATCACGTAGTGGCGCTGCATCTCAGACTTCTCGCTGGCGAGCTTGTCGCATTCCAACTTCAGGCTGCCGGTTGGGTTGGGAGGGGGGAAATGGGCGCAATGGAGGAGCGAGAGGGGGGAGAGAAAGAGAGATGATGATGATAAGAATACTAATAATAATTTATTATTTATATCTCACCCATCTGGATGGGTTTCCCTAGCCACTCTGGGCGGCTTCCAACAAAATACTAAAATACAATAACCTATTAAACATTAAAAGCTTCCCTAAACATCATTGAAAAAGGGACACGGGTGGCGCTGTGGGATCAGAAGGTCGGCGGTTCGAATCCCCATGACGGGGTGAGTTCCCATTGCTCGGTCCCTGCTCCTGCCCACCTAGCAGTTCAAAAGCACGTCAAAGTGCAAGTAGATAAATAGGTACCACTCTGGCGGGAAGGTAAACAGCGTTTCCGTGCGCTGCTCTGGTTCGCCAGAAGTGGCTTAGTCCTGCTGGCCACATGACCCGGAAGCTGTACGCCCGCTCCCTCGGCCACTAAAGCGAGATGAGTGCCACAACCCCAGAGTCAGTCACAACTGGACGTAATGGTCAGGGGTCCCTTTACCTTTAAACATCATTGCTGAGAGGAAGAACGCCACCACACCTTTTACATCTAAGAACGGACATCCTATAAAATATCACCTTGACCCGCCTTCCGGAATCCCTGCTCTCAGGTCGTTTTCCCCTGCCTGGTTTTTAGATACCGGTGCTCCTCTGAGCCCCCAAATCACGCTGCTCATATAGCAATCGAGGGCCGCCTGGAGGGGAGACTTTTCCACCCTGAGGGCCGGATTGCTTCCTGGGCAACCTTCCAGGGCCAGCCTGCCAATAGCAGATGGGGCCAGAAGCCAAAATGTGTGGGGGGATGAGTAACCAGAAACTTTTCCATTAGGTACCAAAATACCAGACTTTTTATGTATAGAACTCTTGGGAGAAAAGTAATGACAAACCTAGACAAGTATCTTAAAAAGCAGAGACATCACCTTGCCAAAAAAGGTCCGTATAGTTAAAGCTATGGTTTTCCCAGTAGTGATGCATGGAAGTGAGCGATGGACCATAAAGAAGGCTGATCGCCAAAGAATGGATGCTTTTGAATTCTGGTGCTGGAGGAGACTCTTGAGAGTCCCATGGACTGCAAGAAGATCAAACCTCTCCATTTGGAAGGAAATCAGCCCTGAGTGCTCACTGGAAGGACAGATCCTGAAGCTGAGGCTCCAAGACTTTGGCCACCTCATGAGAAGAGAAGACTCCCTGGAAAAGACCCTGATGTTGGGGAAGATGGAGGGCTCAAGGAGAAGGGGACGACGGAGGACGAGATGGTGGGACAGTGTTCTCGAAGCGACCAGCATGAGTTTGACCAAACTGCGGGAGGCAGTGGAAGACAGGAGGGCCTGGCGTGCTCTGGTCCAGGGTGTCACGAAGAGGTGGACACGACTAAATGACTAAACAACAACAAAATGTATAGAACAACAGCCGCCCGGATGTTACTAGCTCAGAGATGGAAAGAAAATAAGAGAAAAATGGCAAACCAAGGTGACGGACTATGCCGAGATGGCAAAACTGACGGGAAAACTCAAAAACAAGGAAATGTAAAGAAAAAGAGGGTACCTTTTATCACGTGGTGGACTTGCCCCAAGGTGAAAGACTTATGGGAAAAGATTTATAATGAATTGAAGAAAATGTTTACATTTATTAAGAAACCAGAGGCCTTTCTTCTTGGAATAACAGGTTAGGAAGTGCCCAAGATTGTTTTTGTATGCCACAACTGCAGCTAGAATTTCGTTAGCTAAGAATTGGAAAACACAAAAAGTCCCAAAAGTGGAGGAATGGCAGATGAAGATGATGGACTTTTCGGAGATAGCCAACCTGACCGGAAGAATTCGCGACCAGAAGGAGGAGGAGTACCAGGAGGAATGGATGAAATTCAAAGACTATTTAAGTCAAATATGCTAAGATAACTTAATTGGAAAAATTGCAAATACCAGATGGACTTAGGACTTAAAATGTGATGTTAGAGAATAAAATGTTTAAAGTTAAAAGGAAAAGGAAAAAAGATGCTAAGTGACTGTTAATTTTATGAGAAAACTGGTTTTGGAAAACTGTGACAATGATATACAATGAAACTCAGCCAGGAGGATTTGAGGAAGTCATTTAACAATGTTACTAAGATTGGATTAAGTACAGTTAAGATCTATGTTTGTTTGTTTAAAATATTTGGAAAATCAATATTTTTGGGGAAAAAGAAAACCCAGAAACCAAGAGGATAAAAAACACTAGGGGAAAAATTATAAGTTATTTAGGAGGCCATTTTAAGCTGATGGAGACGAGAGCAGGATTTTGATTTCACTCTTAGTGCAGGAATTATTATGGAGAATATGGTTTGGCATAAAAATGGGATGAGTATGGATGGATATGCAGTCATAGATGTTTATAGGACCCTCGTACCTACGGGACCGCCTCTCCCGGTCTGCCCCACAGAGAGCCTCAAGGTCCATAAATAGCAACACCCTAGTGGTCCCGGGCCCTAAGGAAGTTAGACTAGCTTCAACCAGAGCCAGGGCCTTCTCAGTGATGGCTCCGACCTGGTGGAACGCTCTGTCTCATGAGACCAGGGCCCTGCAGGATCTGATTTCTTTCCGGAGGGCCTGTAAGACAGAGTTGTTCCGCCTGGCCTTTGGCTTGAAGCCAGTTTGATTCCCTCCCTCTCTTTCTTTTTTCTTTTTCCTTTCTCCTCCTGCGATGAGGCTGCATTTTAATATTTTAATGTTTCAATATTTTAATGTTGTATTTTAATTTTGTTTGTAAATTGTATTCATTCAACTTGTTTTTATTATTGCCTGAGCCCAGCCTTGGCTGGGAAGGGTGGGGTATAAATAAAAATTATTATTATTAAAATGAGACTCCAATTTTCTTTGGGGGGGAAGTCCCGAGATTCGGAGAATCTCTTTATATAGATATGTGTTTTTCTTTTCGTTTTGTTTATCTGTACTTTGCATTTGTAAAATCAATGAAAGTGATTCCAAAATAAATAAATAAATCTGTTTCAACCATCGCAGGCTGGTTCCTCCACGGATATCTCAATCTATTCTCTATCGTGGGATGCAAGCGGAATAGGTAGAAGGACATGGTCTAGGTTGGGGGTGTGGCTTAGGAAGAGGGGCGTGGCCTGGGAGAATTGCAGGGGGCCTGATCGTGGGGTCCAGAGGGCCACATTTACTCCTCGGGGCTGAGGTTCCTCATCTCTCCCGTGATTTATTTATTTTTTGAAAAAACTGACATAACCATTAATAAGAACTACCGTATTTTTTGCTCTATAAGACTCACTTTTTCTCTCCTAAAAAGTAAGGGGGGATGTGTGTGCATCTTATGGAGCGAGTGCAGGCTGCGCAACTATCCCAGAAGCCAGAACAGCAAGAGGGATCGCTGCTTTCACTGCGCAGCGATCCCTCTTGCTGTTCTGGCTTCTGAGATTCAGAATATTTTCTTTCTTTTTTTCCTCCTCCCAAAACTAGGTGCGTCTTATAGAGCGAAAAATACGGTAGGCGTTTTCCGCGAAGGGAGTCAAAAGGAAACTTGCCTGTGATACTGAGCTTGCAGCAGCTGAAACTCATCCTTAATCCGGTCACAGGAATCTGACGTTGTGAACTTCAATTGCTGGGGCAAGTGCGAAGAACCCTGGAATATAACCATTATTTTAACCATTTGACAACGGCAGAGATGGGTAATAGGCAAGCTTGGAAAACGACATCCCCATCTTCCTTACTTAACCCGAGGAACGAAAACGGGGGAAATAATTAGGCGCCGAATTCTCTCCCTGTCCCCAGACAGGTTTCTTGCCCAGCCATCACACAAGGGGAGGTGGATACAGTGCTGCTGGGAATGCGTGACGTCACTGGCACAGACCAGTAGGTGCTGATTCCAGATTTGGAACTCCAAAATTGGTGGAGGTCTTTCCAACCCCATCAAATTTGATGGTGTGTGAGTACTGTGAACAGCGGCAGTAGTGAATGTATGCTACGTACTGTTAAAAATCTTGCGATTCCTCCACAGCAAAGAGGCCACACTATACATATAATGCATTGTATAATGCACTGCTTGCAAGAGCCAGGATGTTGTAGCAGCGAGCGTTCCGGACTATTCCCTGGGAAACCAGGGTTCGAATCTCCACTCGGGTGGTGACCTCAGACCCACAACCTAACCTACCTGACACGGTTGTTGTGAGGATAAAATGAGGAGAAACATGCATGCCACCTAGAGCTCCTTAGACGAAAGTTGGGATATAAATGCAACTACTACACGGCTGGCGCTGCGGGTTAAACCACAGAGCCTAGGGCTTGCCGATCGGAAGGTCGGCGGTTCGAATCCCCGTGATGGGCTGAGCTCCCGTTGCTCGGTCCCTGATCCTGCCAACCTAGCAGTTCGAAAGCACAGCAAAGTGCAACTAGATAAATAGGTACCGCTCCGGCGGGAAGGTAAACGGTGTTTCCATGCGCTGCTCTGGTTCGCCAGAAGCGGCTTACTCCTGCTGGCCACATGACCCGGAAGCTGTACGCCGGCTCTCTCGGCCAGTAAAGCGAGATGAGCGCCGCAACCCCAGAGTCGGTCACGACTGGACCTAATGGTCAGGGGTCCCTTTACCTTTTTATGCTATCCAAAGACATGACTCTGTGATCCCAGGAAGCTGGCTGGTCACTGCAGGAGCTGCTTCCGGAAGGAGAGGGGTGCTGGATGTAGTGGGGGGGCGTCTTCATACAAAGCAGAAGTTTGTGTGTCCAAAAACACTCCCCATATTTTATTTCATTTTGAAAAAGCGTTCGCCCGGAAATCTAGCTCATCAGGATGAGGACTGCAGCCTGGCTTGCTAGCTTTCTACAGGAGAGGAGCCCGGTTTTATTTTGTCAGAATGTTTAGGGGACCCAAACCTGCTGTGCTTAGATAAGGGGTGTGTGGAGCTTTGCAATCTCGATCCGATCTGCTGCCTTTCAAGGCTCCATCCCAGCCCATTTAGATCCAGATATTTTGGATATTTTAATTGCATTTGCCTCCTTTTTCCCTCTCAAAGGAGCTCAAGGCGGCAAACGGGTTTCTCTCCCCCGTCCTCATTTAATCCCAAGCAACAGCGCTGAGAAGGAGCGACCGGCCAACTAGGTCACCGAGAGAGAGAGAGTCCTGGCCTAGTGGGAGAATTCGAACCCTGGTCCTGGTCCCAGCCTGATGCTCTAACCACAACTTCACAAATAACCACCATTTAACTATTTCACCGCCCTTCATTCAGTCTTGGGATAAACTCACAGCTTTGTTTGTTTGTTAGAAAACAAAACAAAACCCTGCTTTTAAAAATTACCTAATGTTGCAAATCGCCTTGAGGAAATGAGTAAATCAAGGGCGATAATACTAATAACAATAATAATAATATTAACTTACCGTATTTTTTGCTCTATAAGACTTTTTCCCCTCCTAAAAAGTAAGGGGAAATGTGTGTGCGTCTTATGGAGCGAATGCAGGCTGCGCAGCTATCACAGAAGCCAGAACAGCAAGAGGGATCGCTGCTTTCACTGCGTAGTGATCCCTCTTGCTGTTCTGGCTTCTGAGATTCAGAATATATTTTTTCTTGTTTTCCTCCTCCAAAAACTAGGTGCGTCTTGTGGTCTGGTGCGTCTTACAGAGCGAAAAATACGGTACTTGCTATGCAACCCTTCACCCTAAGGTCTCTGTGTGTGTGTGTGTGTGTGTGTGTGTGTGTAACAGCACTAAAAACAACCCACTCATCCGATCACTCTCTACCCCTCCTTCAAGGGGACCCCTCCCTCATTTCTCAAGGCACTCCAATGGGCCACAACCCCCACAACTGCACCCCAAAGAACCCCCCCCCCCCGCCGCTGCTCCACTTCCTGGGCCAAAAGCCAGCCTGGAAACTATCTCTCCCCTGTCGCCACCCCCCCCCCCCAGCCCTGGACACGTGCAGGAGGAAGGCGTCAGCTGCTCCCCTTTCTCACATCCGGCCTGGGGAGTTTCCCTTGAACACCCCAACCCTCCCCAAGCACCCCAACCTCCTCCTTCCCTTCCTCTTCCCCTCCTTGCACCCTAATCTTCCCACTGCTCTCCTTGACACCCAAACCCCTCCCTGGCACCCCAAACCCCTCCCCCCAAATTCCCCCTCTGGGCACCCCAACCTCTTCCTGCCTCCTTGCTCTCTTTACAACCAGTTGCCCTTCCGCCTGGCGCCCCGATCCTCCCTGTGGGCACCCCAATCCTTCCCCCTTTCCTTAGCACCCCAAACCCGTCCTTCCTTCTCTGGGCACCCCAATCCTCTACCCCGGCACCTCAAACTCCCCATTACCCCCCCCAAATTTCCTTCCCCGTCACCCCAACCCCTCCTAATCTCCTCTCCTCCCTCGATTTCCCCTTTGCACCCCACCCCTTTCCGACACCCCAATCGTGGCCCCCCTCTTTCCCATAGCACCCTACTCCTCTCCTCTCCCGGCACCCCAAACCCCCCTCCTTCCTTCTCCGAGAACCCCAACCCTCTCCTCCCTTGGACCGCAACCCCCCCTACTCAGCACCCAACCCCTCCCCCCTGGCACCCCGCCCTTTCCCTCCCCCCCTCCCGGACGGGCACCCCAATCCCTCGCGCCCCCGCCCTCTTTGCAGCCAACTCCCCTCCCCTCGCTTCTCTCTCCCCCCCCCCCCTCACCGAGTGCCGGCTTTGAGGAAACATCATGTCAGGCCCCGATCCGAAGCGCAGGGCTGCGGCGGCGGCGGATGCGGAGCGCGCTTCCTCCCGCTTGCGCCAAAGGCGTCCGCAAAGCAGGCCCGGAGAGCGCGCGCTCGCTTTCCTTTCCCCCTGGCTTTTCTGGGCTGCTCCGGCGGCTCCTTCCTCCGCAAGCAGCAGCTCCGGAGGTGGGAAGAAGAAGGGGCGGAAAAGGAGAAAAATAAGACCCCAAAACCTCGCGAGGCGCACGGCCTCCTTGCTTTTTGCGCCTGGAAAGCAGGGCCCCGGAGATGCGTCCTTGGCGAGGTTTGGCGAGGTTGGGCGCAGACGCACACGCGCGCCCCTCTCTCTCTGCGCTCCCGATCTCGCTCCTCCTCTCGCTCCGGGTCTTGCTCCCGCGCTCCCCGGCTCCCTCGGCTCCGGATGCGACCCTCCCCGCGGACTCCGGCCTGGCCCCAGCCAAAAAGGAGACGGACACCCGTGCGCGCCGCTCCGCCTTCCCCCAGCTATTGTTTAATGGCGGCTGCGGAGGCGCCTCTCCTCTCCTGCGGCTGAGCGCCAGCACCACCTGCCGTCGGGACGCGGCAGCTCCGAGGGCGCGCGCACACGCCGCCACCCCCCCCACCCGCCACCCACAGCAACACCCCAAAAATAACCCCCCACCAAAAAAAAAACCATCACCCCACCAGTTATGGATGGATGTGCAGGGATAGGGCGCTAGGAGGAGAGGGTCGGGGTGCTAAGGGAAAGAGAGGCTTGGGGAGGGAGCGGCAATATTCTGTTGTTGTGTGTGTGTGTTTTTTTTTTATTATTATTATTATTATTATTATTATTATTATTACTGCCACTTTTAATTTTTGCTTTTCTCCCCCTCTTCTTTAAGTCTTTTGTGCCTTATTTTACCTCCATGTTTGTATCTTATGCTAGTCTGTGGCGGTAATAAAGTTTGTAATGTTGGATTAATAATAATAATAAGAATACTGTAATAACAACAACAATAATAATTTTATGTGAGTTATAACCACTTTTAACTATTTGCTTTTCTCCCCTCTTCTTTAAGTCGTATGTGCCTTATTTTATTTCCATGTTTGTATCTTATGCAAGTCCGTGACCATAATAAAGTTTGTAATAATAATAATTTTCTGTGAGTTATACCCACTTTTAACTATTTGCTTTTCTCCCTCTCTTCTTTAAGTCTAAGCCTTATTTTATCTCCATGTTTGTATCTTATGCTAGTCTGTGACCATAATACAAGTTTGCGATTATTATTATTATTATTATTAGTGAGTTATAACCACTTTTAACTATTTGCTTTTCTCCCTCTCTTCTTTAAGTCTAAGCCTTATTTTATCTCCATGTTTGTATCTTATGCTAGTCTGTGACCATAATAAAGTTTGTTTTTGGAAGATAATCTTTATTGATTTTATGATTACATACTATACATATACACATTACTTTACATTTGATCCTAAGAGTTGACTTCCCTCCTTCCTTCTTCTGGCTAGGTAATGCTGGATTAATAATAATAATAATTTTATGTGAGTTATAACCACGTTTAACTATTTGCTTTTATCCGTCTCTTCTTTAAGTCTTGTGTACCGTATTTTATTTCCATGTTTGTATCTTATGCTAGTCTGTGACTGTAATAAAGTTTGTAATTTTTTAAAATTATGATGATGATGATGATGATGATGACTGGGAGAGCGAACACCTGCTGCAGGTGCAGGCAGGATAATGAGGACTGGAACCTTGTTTTGCATGGTTTTTTTGGGAGGTAATGCCAGCCCTAGAGACATCACCTTGCCGACAAAGGTCCGTCTAGTTAAAGCTATGGTTTTCCCAGTAGTGATGTATGGAAGTGAGAGCTGGACCATAAAGAAGGCTGATCGCCGAAGAATGGATGCTTTTGAATTCTGGTGCTGGAGGAGACTCTTGAGAGTCCCATGGACTGCAAGAAGATCAAACCTCTCCATTCTGAAGGAAACCAGCCCTGAGTGCTCACTGGAAGGACAGATCCTGAAGCTGAGGCTCCAAGACTTTGGCCACCTCATGAGAAGAGAAGACTCCCTGGAAAAGACCCTGATGTTGGGAAAGATGGAGGGCACAAGAAGAAGGGGACGACAGAGGACGAGATGGTGGGACAGTGTTCTCGAAGAAACCAGCATGAGTTTGACCAAACTGCGGGAGGCAGTGGAAGACAGGAGTGCCTGGCGTGCTCTGGTCCAGGGGGTCACGAAGAGTCTGGCACGACTAAATGACTAAACAACAGCAACTCAGAAGGGTGCCACCTTCGGTCTCTTGCACCCCTCGGTCCAACTCCTACCTCATGGTGTCGTTGGAAGATAAAATAGGGGGATAGCGGTGTGTACCAGCTTGAACTCCCTGCTCCAGCCAAGGAGGAGGAGGAGCTTTATGGGGGCAGATGGTGAAGCTGAAGGAGAACCGAAGCCCTGGAACCACCAGGCTCTGAGGTGGTGACCCTGCGGGAGAAAGTGGTTGTGCTGGAGGTCGAACTGGGCACCTGCCATAGCCACCTGACACTGGGGAAGAAGCAGAGCCTCAAAGCCCAGGCCTATTTGCCCCTGAGGAAGGTGGGAGGGTATGTCGTCTCCTGAGACGGATGGATGCCAGCAAGTCCCAGTGCAAGAAGCCAGCACTGAAACAGGCCAAATCTCTGATTTGGAGAGAGAGGCTTTGGGGGTGGAGCCCCAGCCCTGCGTGCAGAAGGGTAGACAGATTAGTGGGGATCTCATAAAAAAGCTCCTGATTTCAAACCCTCCCCTCCCCACAAGTCCACAACTAGGGAGGGGGGAATCTGTTCGTCGGTGTGTCTCCCAGTTTCTCATCACCCCTCTCTTCAGTTCAATACACCACACATACACATCAGCTTGCAATTCAAAAAACCACATTTGTGTGGATGCATTAGCAGTTTATTGTGAATTAATCTTGAGCTACAGAGTTGCATGCAAGTTTGCCAAACTAGCACATCTTTTGCAAAGCAATTCCCCCAAAATAAGGCATTTGGGGCAGGCTCCTTTCGCTGCTACGCACACTGACGGACACACCTCATTCCAGTATCTGCATTTTTGTGCACTAAACTCGCCTGGAGAGCCAAACTGCAAAATTCAGAGGAGGGCGAATTTGAAAAGATGGCTGTGTTTCAAATCTTATTCCTGAAAGTGTGAATGAGGGAGGTTCAATGTTACCTTTGAGCTGAATTTAATTTCCCCTCTGTCCCTCTGGTACATCACCCCCAACCATTAGCCTGCAGGAGTTTGGCATGTGAAACTTTTAACACCCCCCCCCTTTTTAAATGCATTTGGTGCCAAGGTCTTTTGTATGATTGTCTAGGAATCCCTGAGCTCAGACCAGTGATTTGGACATCGAGGAAATGCACAGAGGAAGTCCCCTAGGGCTGAAATGAAATATCTCCTCTTGAACAGGGTGAGAAATTCCCACAGTCCTGACCCTGTGGTATCCCAGAAGGCAGCGTCCGAATCTATACCAGGCTGAAGAGGATTTTAATGCAAACAAGGGTGGAAAGAAGGATTTTCTTCAAGGGGATGGGAGGCAGTGAAGGACGCTGTCCAGAAACCCCATCCTGTATGAAACGTGTGTGTGTGTGTGTGTGTGTGTGTGTGTGTGTGTGTGTGTGTTTTGTTGCAGAATGCAAGCCAAGCAGGTTATTCATGCAAGAACAAGCATGGGAAAGCAAAAGCAAATATAGCGTTACTGATGTCTCTTCTCTTCAGGACCTCATGGTTTCCTTGATCCAATCAAGGTACTCGGAGACTCGAGTGTAAACTCCAGGAGGGCAGGGGTAACCATACGAGACGATTCCTTGTGCCACGCCATCACACACTAAGGGGCCACCCGAATCTCCCTGTGGAGAGGAAAGAGAGGACAAAGATGGCAACTGGGGGAAGATTTGGATCCACATTGTGGTCAACTCTCACGCTTGAACCAGCGTGAGCCAGCGTGGTGTAGTGGTTAAGAGCGGTGGACTCGTAATCTGGTGAACCGGGTTCGATTCCTCGCTCCTCCACATGCAGCTGCTGGGCGACCTTGGGCTGGTCACACTTCTCTGAAGTCTCTCAGCCCCAGAGGGTTTGTTGTGGAGGAGGAAGGGAAAGGAGAATGTTAGCCGCTTTGAGACTCCTTAAGGGGAGTGATAAAGCGGGATATCAAATCCAAACTCTTCTTCTTCTTCTTCTTGAACCAGGGCAAACTGCCAGGTTACTAGTCGATCTACTCTCAGTACGACTTGGGGCTCGTCCGCTCCTTCCTTTCCCAGGAAAACTGACTATTTAAGTTCTAAATCGGAACAAACGGCAATCCATGCAAAGCTTGATGGCCGATTGCTCCAATTGAGCGCTAAGGAGTGACCCCCCCCCCGGGAAAGCAGAGGGACAAGCGAAAGTGGGAAGGAGCCCTTAGCAGAATACAAGCCCATGTCCATTTTCCTGGAGAAGTGAACGATCCCTCAGAAGGGTGGGATCCATAACCCCCGCCCGATCCTGTCACTTGCTGCTTCTGCTGGCTCTCACCGTGAAAGAATCCTCAGGCTCGTCGGGTCTCCCGGCGCAGATCTTCCCACAATTGAGATGTGAATACCGCCGACTGCACAACCCACGGTCGTAGATGGCAACATTGGTCTCGTAGAGAGTGTCTGGTGACCAGTCTTTGTAAACCCGGCCCCATCCTGCCACGCTGCAGGAGGTCCCATGGGAGAGGTCACGGTCGAATTTGGGCAAGCGCAGGATCTGGACATATTCATTCAGAGTAGCCTTGGAATTCAGCTGCGGAAAAGAGAGATGGGAGAGAGCTCATTGGTTTAGTGTTGCTTGAGGAAACCCTTCGGGGAGTCTGGTGCCTCTAAAATGGGGAACTTTGGGCAAAAAAACCCAGCAGACTGTGTTGATAATAAAAGGTAAAGGGACCGCTGACCATTAGGTCCAGTCGTGGCCAACTCTGGAGTTGTGGTGCTCATCACGAGTCTTGAGAATGGCTGAGGGGCCGTCGCACTGCATTCTGGGTCATGTGGCTAGCATGGCGAAGCCATTCTGGCAATACCAGAGCAGCACGACTGAAATCGCTGTTTAGAACAACATTCCCAGACTAGAGGAGTACTCCTATCTATCTACTTGCACTTTGACGTGCTTTATGAACTGCTAGGCTGGCAGGAGCAGGGACTTTGAGTCAACTCACCCTGTCGCAGGGTAAACTGCACACAATCTAGACCATTCTGATTGGCAAGCCCTAGGCTCTGTGGTTTAGACCACAGCGCCACCCGCGTCCCAAATGATAATATTACAGTATGGATAATATTAATGGCCCACGTTCAACTAGATTGTTGTACCAGTTACCTTGAGCAGACAGATATCGTTTGAGATGGTGTTCTTGTCATATTCAGGGTGTGGGTAGTTAGTCTCAACGCTGAACACTTGCTGAGAGGGTTCTTTAACGGAGATGTTATGTGCCCCCAAGGTGACATTAAAATTGCTGGAAACAGAGCATCAGTTAGTGGCCAGGACTGTGGGAATTTCTCACCCTGTTCCAGATGAGATATTTCATTTCAGCCCTAGGGGACTTGCTCTGTGCATTTCCTCGATGTCCAAATCACTGGTCTGAGCTCTAGGATTCCTAGGCAATCATACAAAAGACCTTGGCACCAAAAGTTGAAAGTTACCAGTTTACCATTTCACATGCCAAACTCCTCCAGGCTAATGGTTGTGGTGATGTTGTGGGACAGAGGGGAAATTAAATTCAGCTCAAAGGTAAGACTGAACCTTCCTCATTCATACTTTCTGGAATAAGATCCGAAACACACCTATCCTTTCAAATTCGCCCTCCTCTGAATTTTGCAGTTTGGCTCTCCAGGAAAGTTTAGTGCACAAAAATGCAGATACTGGAATGAGGTGTGTCTGTCAGTGTGCGTAGCAGCGAAAGGAGCCTGCCCCAAATGCCTTATTTTGGGGGAATCGCTTTGCAAAAGATGCGCCAGTTTGGCAAACTTGCATGCAACTCTGTATCTCAAGATTAATTCACAATAAACTGCTAATGTATCCACACAAATGTGTTGTTGTTGTTTGCCTGAGCACACCGGAGAGGCGGGAAGTGCGCCCTTGCCAGCACCCATTCTGCGCAGTAGGCTTCGGCGCAGGGAGGGGCGGAAAAGGCTGGGGGTCACATGACTTTTATGCTGGGGGAGGTACAAAGGCCGAGCACTCCCAGATTCTGCTAGCGCTTGAGCCAGACATGAACTTAGGACGCTCTTCACTGTTGCACCAAGAATAAAGCCTGGAAAAGACAGGCCGGAGTCTTGCCTGTTTACTCTCGAGCAACCACACTACCTTCTGACATTGGCAATCGCCCTGTAGTAAAGGTAAAGGGACCCCTGACCATTAGGTCCAGTCGTGACCGACTCTGGGGTCGCGGCGCTCATCTCGCTTTACTGGCTAAGGGAGCCGGCGTACAGCTTCCGGGTCATGTGGACAGCAGGACTAAGCCGCTGCTGGTGAAACCAGAGCAGCACATGGGAACGCCGTTTACCTTCCCGCTGGAGTGGTACCTATTTATGTACTTGCACTTTGACATGCTTTCGAACTTCTAGGTTGGCAGGAGTAGGGACTGAGCAATGGGAGCTCACCCCGTCGTGGGGATTCGAACCGCCGACCTTCTGATCGGCAAGTCCTAGGCTCTGTGGTTTAACCCACAGTGCCACCTGCGTCCCAATTGGCCCTGTAGGCATGTCTTTAATTTAATAGCACTGTGGTCCCTGCTCCCAACTGGTTCAACGATACTGACGTCTTGCGCCGCGTCAAGGGGGCCACTTAAGAGGAAGCCCCGCCTGAGCCCCCCTGAGGCCACCAGGTGTTCTAGGACACAGTTCTTTGGGGCAACTAGACATTTTTACCTCTTGGTTATGGCAGGGACACAAGGGCAGCCTGTCTATGTCAAGGTAGTTGAAATCACCCATGCCTACGGCATAGACATGGATAGACAAATTGTCCACTGTTATGCCTCCCAGCTTCTTCTTTTTCCCATCATAAGTTCAGTTATCCAAATATCTGTATAAGTTTGCAGGGTTGTTTTTTTTTTTTAAAGAACAGACGGAAAACTCATGAAAATTCAACAGCATTTTAATGTGAATTTCTTTCGATACACACTTTTGTATGCAATTGTGCCACAAATTCACATTTTTTGCAAAGCAGTTTGCCGTAAGATAATGCATTTTTGGCATGCTTTTTTTAAACTATTTCTTGCATCAAAGGACACACGTTACCCTCATTATGTGCATTCCCATAAACATGACTTGGCTGGAGCCCTAAACTGCAAAATCTGGAGAAATGTGAATTTTGGAGGATGGCTGTTTTTGGTGTGAACCTTGTTTCAAAAAGTGTGAGTGAGGGAGGTTTAACTTTCAATCCAGGTTGAATATTAAATGTCTCCTCCATCCCTACAACACATTGCGACAACCCACAGCCTAGGGGAGTTTGTTTTGTGAAAAGGTTAATTGTAAGGTCCGTATAGTGAAAGCTATGGTTTTCCCAGTAGTGATGTATGGAAGTGAGAGCTGGACCATAAAGAAGGCTGATCGCCAAAGAATTGATGCTTTTGAATTCTGGTGCTGGAGGAGACTCTTGAGAGTCCCATGGACTGCAAGAAGATCAAACCTCTCCATTCTGAGGGAAATCAGCCCTGAGTGCTGACTGGAAGGACAGATCCTGAAGCTGAGGCTCCAATACTTTGGCCAGCTCATCAGAAGAGAAGACTCCCTGGAAAAGACCCTGATGTTGGGAAAGATGGAGGGCACAAGGAGAAGGGGACGACAGAGGACGAGATGGTGGGACAGTGTTCTCAAAGCTACCAGCATGAGTTTGACCAAACTGCGGGAGGCAGTGGAAGACAGGAGGGCCTGGCATGCTCTGGTCCACGAAGAGGCGGACACGACTAAACGACTAAACAACAACAACAACAACAAAGATGTTGTGGGTGCCAAGGTCTTTCAGAACAGCATCCAGGAATTCTAGAGATTAAAATGGTCTTTGGGGGGCTGATGAAATGCACAGAGGAAACCATTTAGAAATGAGATAGAGTCCTTCCGTGCTGGCGAAGAGGACGACGTCCCACATCCCTCAGTCTAAAGGGGCTTGACCTGACCTTGACCCAGAATGCAGGTTCCAATGGCAGGTCTGCCGAGCTCTGGAAGGAAGAGCAAGAGGAGTCCTCTAAAGCAGAGGTGGCTGACATTTTGGCCATCCAGATGTTGCTGGACTTCAACTCCCATCAGCCCTCACATTTGGCTAAACTGGCCAGTACTGATGGGAGTTGGAGTCCAGCAACATTGAGCGAGTCACAGGTCCTTCCCTCCTGATCTAAAGGAACATGATGCTATCCAGACATTTGGACCGTCTTTGGCTCTCCAGATGTTGCTGGACTCCAGCATCTGGGGGCCACAGGTTCCTCCATCCCTGCATTGGGAGAAGCAAGGGAGAAGGGAGGAGTGGCTTGAGGGAGATGGAGGTCCCTGGAAGGGTTTCCTACAAGGGGATGGAAGGCAGTGAAGGCGCATGCCCAAACACCATCCTGTATGAAACATCTGATAGATCTTCCTTTGTCGCAGCCATTGAGGGGTCTCTCTCTCTCTCTCTCTCTCTCTCTCTCTCTCTCTCTCTCTGTGTGTGTGTGTTTTGTTGCAGAATGCAAGCCAAGCAGGTTATTCAGCAAGCAAAAGCATTAGGGGTGGGAAAGAAGGCACAATGTCACCGCGGTTGCTTCTTCTGTTCACCGTTTCATGGTTTCCTTGATCCATGGAAGGTAATGGGCAATGCGAGTGTAAACTGCTGGCGGGCAGGGACAGCCATACGAGGTGATTCCTTGTGCCACGCCATCACACACCAAGGGGCCACCCGAATCGCCCTGTGGAGAGAGAGAACAAAGATGGCAGCTGGGGGAAGATTTGGATCCACCTCGTGGCAAACTCTGGACCTTGAACCAGGGCAAGCTGCAGGGTTCCTGTTGGTTGGATCAGTCAATTCTGAGAGGAGACCTTGGTGGACATTCCCCCTAATACAGTGGAACCTCGGGTTGTGAACGTGATCTGTGCGGGAGGAACTTCCGCAACCCGCCCCACCCGCGCGGGTCACGATTCAGTGGTTCTGCGCATGCGCAAAGTGCAATTTAGCGCTTCTGCACATGCGCCGAAACCTGGAAGAAACCCGTTCCGGTACTTCTGGGTTTGGCGCGGTGCACAACCCGAAATCGTGTAACCTGAAGTGTCTGTAACCCGAGGTACCACTGTATACACATTTTGGAGGGCAATGTCTTTCTAATCAATTGCATTTTTGTACATTAGTTTTACGAATATATGCATTTCTATGTGCTCTTTCTGCTAGTGCACTCCTTTATGTATATATTATTTGAGTGGAGAGCTATTGATCAAAGATAACTAGATGATCAAAGATAACCGAATTTCAGTTCCGCTATTAGTTCAGAAAGCAATCAGTTCTGCTTGTGTTCAAAATGTGAACCAGACCAAAGGTGGCATCTCATAATATTATGAAACACACTGAGTGTTGATTTCAGTGGGTCAGCTCTCAGTAGGACTTAGGGCTCGATTGTCCCGTCCGAGCAGTTTCCCCCTTGCCCCACTCCTTTCCCCGGGAAAATCAGCTCTTTAGCTCTAAATTGGAACAAACAGCAATCTGCAGAAAACTCCTTTCTTGTTTGCTCCGATTCAGCTCCAAAGAGCGGTTTTCTCCTGGAAAAGCAGCGGGGCAAGAGGAGTTGTGCAGGAGCCCTTAGCAGGATGCAAGCCTAAATAACTCCAGCTTCGCTTTTGGGGACCCTTGGAGCGCCTGTGAAGCACAGAAGTGAAGGGCATCATTCGACATCCACCCCGGGAATTGGCAGACATTCTTTGAAGCCACTGGGTTGGTCAGGCCAGGCAGGGGCATAGCTAGCTGTTCCAGCACCCAGAGCAGTGAGGGTGGGACAAGATGCCCACAAGGGCCCCACGGCGATCCAAGCATGGGGGGGCTGGGTGAGCCACCCAGGGGGTCCTGCAGAGAGCTGCTCACGGAGTCTGTCTGGCGGACGCAAGCCCCATGCTGCCGTTTTGGGCACCGCGGGGCTCCGAGCCACTGGGTCACTCCCAGGAGAAAAGTGTAGCTCAGGCGTGCTTCAGGCCAGCCCCCCCGTGGTGTGCCATTTTGTCACCCCTCAGGGATGACACCTGGGGCAGACCACACACCCCGCACCCTCTTCCTACGTCCCTGAGACCAGGTATAAGTAGATGGGCATCTGCCCATGTGTCTTCGGCTGGAGAGGAGAAGGATCCCTCAGAAGAGAGGGATCCATAACTGGGGAAGGTGTGCAGCTCCCCCACCTCTGATCCTGTGACTTGCTGCTTCTGCTGGCTCTCACCTGAAAAACAGTCTCAGGCTTGTTCTTTCTCCCGGCACAGACCTGCCCATCATCGAGATCAGTATACAACTTGATGCACTGCCTACGGTCATAGATGGCAACATTGGTCTCATAGAGTGTTTTGGGTGACCAGTCTTTGTAAACCTGGCCCCATCCTGCCACGCTGCAGGGGGTCCCATGGGAGAGGTCACGGTCGAATTTGGGCAAGCGCAGGATCTGGACATATTCATTCAGAGTAGCCTTGGAATTCAGCTGCGGAAAGGAGAGATGGGCGAGAGCTCATTGGTTTAGTGTTGCTTGAGGAAGCCCTTGGGGGAGTCTGGTGCCTCTGAAATGGGGAACTTTGGGCAAAAAAGGAGCAGACTGTATTGATAATACAGAATGATAATATTACGGTATGGATAATATTAATGGCGCACGTTTAACTGGATGGTTGTACCAGCAAGAGTCTTGAGAATGCGATGGGGCTTCTCCACTGCATTCCCAAATCTGCTTTCTGGCAAACATTTCAATACCAAAAGAATACAACTGAAATCGCTTTTAGAAAAAACATTCCCAGAATTAGATAAAAACTCCTACAAGCAACTGCCTACTCCGAATTTAATGATTTCTGGGCTGCTACGGAAGAGACTTTTGGTCATCCAATGCCAGGGTAAACTGCACAAAATCTAGTTCATTTTGCTGCACACATTGGGACGGTTAGGAGAGCCTTGGCTCCTTCTGCCTTCAAGATCACTGACCTCGGGGGAAAGATAGAAGGAGAGATTGCTTGGAGCAAGCTACCTTGAGCAGACGGATATCGTTGTATGAGATGAGTTCGTTATATTCGTTATGGCTTTTATATTCTGGGTGTGAGTAGCTAGCCTCAATGCTGAACACTTGCTGAGAGGGTTCTTTATTGGAGATGTTATGTGCCCCCAAGGTGACGCTATAGTTGCTGGAAAGAGAGCATCAGTTAGTGTCAGAGATGCCAGGACTCAATCCCCTCCTGGCCCCCGTGCAAAAGACCAGGCTCCCTCCATACAACCAGCTGTGCACCTTGATGGTTAGGTGGTCATCTGTCTTGGGTGCTTTAGCTGACCAAATGACCCTTGCAGTCCCTTCCAACGATACAATTCTATGATTCTATGACCATCCCTGCTAAAAATCAAGGAGGGATTAGTGAGACTTACCCATCGCAGTGCGCAGCCGTCATTACCCACTGGGGCGCCACGAGGAATCCGCCACAGTCAAGAGCCCTCAGCATCCTCTAAGTAAGCCATGTAGGGTCTGGAGTGGGGCTTGGCTTCATGGCCCCCAACAATCTGACTCCGCAATGGATCTGCAAGAACCGTATGCAGAGATCAGCTCCTCCTCCTCCTTGCATGTTCTGGGGTGTCTTCCACACATTCAAAGTTATTGGGGTGGCAAAAGGATGGGTCACCATCCCAATGAGCTTACTATTCATTTTCCTAGCAAGGAAGTTAGAGAAGCGAAGGCACAGAGCAGCCTAGGAAGACCCCCTTCGTTCCATTAGCTCAGGATTCTCCTGCAAGGACTGCCAAAAGTGGCTCCTCAAGGAGATGAGACCTGGGTCTCATAACCTGGATATGCTGTTGCGGATTGAAATCGGGACTTTTGCAATGCAAAGCAGATTCTCTTCCACTGAGCTGCAGCCCCTCCCCAAGGAAAAAGCAAGGAGAATAATGCAGAGCAGAATCATAGGATCACAAAAGCCAGTCCAACCCCAACTCAGCATCATTTACCTTGGTGGGTGACTAAACCCTGTTAGTAGATCCCCCAGCCTTAGTCTCAGCCCTGTATTGATTCAGCACAGATTCCCCTCTTATCATGCCCAGCTCAGATTTTAGTCTCTGCCCTGATAGAACGGGAAGCAATGGATCTGCAAGAACCGTATGCAGAGATCAGCTCCTTCTCCTCCTCCTTGCATGGTCTGGGGTGTCCTCCACACATTGAATGTTATTGAAGGAGCAAAAAGGACAGTTCACTGTTCCGATGAGCTTACAATGGGTTTTCCTAGCAAGGAAGTTAGCAAAGCGAAAGCAAAGAGGAGCCTAGGAAGACCCCCTTTGCGCTTTTGAATGGGAGGAAGATTTCAGGGAGGAGAAACGCCATGGTGTATCATCTGCCATGGTGCTTTTACTCACCTGTTTGGGCGAAGGAGAAGGACAGGAGCAGTAGCAGAAGAGCCTGGCGGAGTCTCCACATCTTGATGCTTGCCAAGGAGGGAGATGCCTGGAGCTTAACTCTTCAGCCTCTCGACCCCGTGGCTTTTATGACCTCCAGCCTCTGGACTCCACCTTCCCTAGGAAGCCACAATCTGGACTTGAGATCTGATAGGCAGGCTTATCATTTCTCACTAGCCACGTGGCTGATCCCACCACGAACAGCAATCAGATAGTCAGATGGGGAGATTGGGAAAAATGAGAAACAGAGTGATCCCAGAATTGGAGACTTTTTAAGCAAAGGTTTACGAAATCAGAGGAGCGAAGATAATGTAATTCATTAAGACAAAATCATAGACCAGCTTTCGATACACTCGAGTGGCTATTACATGTTACAGTTTGATGAGCGACTGGATTCAGACGCACAAATATAGGATAGGGGACACCTGGCTTACTAGCAGTACATGTGGAAAGGATCTAGGGGTCTTGGTGGAGCACAAACTGAACATGAGCCAACAGTTTACAAAGACTGGTCACCAGCCATCTCTGACTGCAGGCAGTATGGGAAGCCATATCCTAATCTCAATGATGGGAAGGTCTGTGCTGGAAGATCCGACAAGCCAGAGACTGATTTCATGGTGAGTCAGCAGAAGCTGCAAGTGACAGGATCAGAAGTGGGAGAGCTTCCTCGTTATGGATCCCACCCTTCTGAGGGATCCTTCTCCTGTCCAGCAAAACAGACATGGGCAGATGCCAGTCTACTTATACCTGCCCTCAGGGGCGTGGGAAGGGGGGTGCGGCCTACCCTGGGTGTCATCCCTGAGGGGTGACAAAATGGCACACCATGGGGCGGCACTTACTGCTTTAGAAGATTCCTCTGGCTCTTCCTTCCAGAGCCCCGCAGACCTTCCATTGAAACCTGCATTTTGGGACAAGGTCAGGTTGAGCCACTTGAGGTTGAGGGATGTGGGACGTCGTCCTCTCAGCCAATAGGGAAGGACTTTATCCCATTTCTAAGAGGATCCTCTCTGCATTTCATCAGCCCCCCCCCCCAGACCATTCTAATCTCTAGGATTCCTAGATGCAGATCCAAAACATTTTGGTACCCACAACATCTCACAAATAACCATTTCACAAAACTCCCCTAGGCTGTGGGTTGTTGTGATATATTGTAGGAATGGAGGAGACATTTAATATTCATCCTGGATTGAAAGTTGAACCTCCCTCACTCACACTTTCCGAAACAAGGTTCACATCAAAAACAGTCATCCTCCAAAATTAACATTTCTCCAGATTTTGTGTGCATGTAATAGTTTTAATAGTTTTAATGTAATAGTGCATGTAATAGGGGTGCAGCTGGCGCTGTGGTTTAAACCGCAGAGCCTAGGACTTGCCGATCAGAAGGTCAGCGGTTCGAATCCCCTTGACGGGGTGAGCTCCTGTTGCTCGGTCCCTGCTCCTGCCCACCTAGCAGTTCGAAAGCACGCCAGTGCAAGTAGATCAATAGGTACCGCTCTGGCGGGAAGGTAAACGGCGTTTCCGTGTGCTGCTCTGTCATGCTGGCCACATGACCCGGAAGCTGTACGCTGGCTCCCTCGGCCAATAAAGCGAGATGAGCGTCGCAACCCCAGATTCGGCCATGACTGGACCTAATGGTCAGGGGTCCCCTTACCTTTACCTTATGGTTTTTTAAAAAGCATACCAAAAATATATTATCTTAGGGCAAATTGGTTTGCAGAAAATGTGAATATTTGGCACAATTGCATATAAAAGTGTGTATCAAAAGAAATTCACATTAAAATGCTGTTGAATTTTCCTCTGGACTTTCGGTCAGCTTTAACTCAGTGGTTTCTGTTATTTCCTTAAACTCCCTTTGTCAGAAAAATTGTACATATTTACACCCCCACCACATGTGAACACAATTCCCTGTTTCCTGGCAGTGCTACGCACACTGATAGACACACCTCATTCCAGTATCTGAATTTTTGTGCACTAAACTTGCCTGGAGAGCTGAACTGCAAAATTCAGAGGAGGGTGAATTTTAAAAGATGGCTGTGTTTTGGATCTTATTCCCAACTGGTAACTTTTAACTGCCCGCCCCCTTTTTAAATGCATTTTGGTGCCAAGGTCTTTTGTATGATTGTCTAGGAATCCTAGAGCCCAGACCAGTGATTTGGACATCGTGGAAATGCACAGAGGAAGTCCCCTAGGGTTGAAATGAAATATCTCCTCTTGAACAGGGTGAGAAATTCCCACAGTCCTGGCCCTCTGGTGTCCCAGAACGCAAAGTCCAAATCTACGCCAGGCTGAAGAGGAAGGATGGAGGAAGGTGGAATCATCTAAAGGAAGGTGCGGTTAATCTGTTGGCCATCCAGATGTTGATGGATGTCAACGCCAGTCTGGGGCTGATGGGAGTTGTAGTCCAACAACATCTGGAAGGTGACAGGTTTCTCTCCCCTGACCCAGAGGACCAGGAGGAGATCTGTGGAACTTTGGTCAGTCCAGACATTTGGACAACGATGGGGAACCTTTGGTCCTCCAAAGGTTGCTGGACTCTCATCAACTGCAACAAACATGACCAATGGCCAGGAATAATGGGTGGGTTCTTGCTTTGGTCATCCATCTGGGCCAAAGAGAAGGAGTAGAAGAGGAGTAGAAGAAGAACCTGGCGGAGTCTCCACATCTTGATGCTTGCCAAGGAGGGAGATGCCTGATCTTAACTCTTCAGCATCTTAACCCCTGTGGCTTTCACTACCTCCACCCTCTGGACTCCACCTTCCCCAGGAAGCCGCAATCTAGACTTGAGATCCGATAGGCGGATTTCAACACATTTATCTTTTCTCTCCATCCATGTGACAGACCCCACCTCCACCCATCGATGGTAACCAGATAGCAAAACGATTTGTGCGGTTTGGTTCTGTTGGGGCCATATAAGGAGACTGGGGAAAGGAGAAACGGATTGAACCCGGAATTGGCAGAGCTGCTCATCCGTCGCTGGGGCTGATGGGAGCTACAGAAGAACAACATCTGGAGGGCCAAAGGTCCCTAACCAATGGGACAAGTGGGATGATGGTGGTCATAACAGTGTGAAGCATGTGCTCGCTTGTCATGCTTGTAGCTCTTGTGTTTTTTGTAGCTCCCTTGTGGAACTCAGCAGAGAGCAGGATGGAGAGGAAACTGGAATGAGCTGCCTCTCTGCCTGACCAGCTGTTGGGCTCCCTAATTTACACTCCACCCATCGCAAGGGACAGCAGCTGCCAGTAAAATCTTTGATATGGGGAGTGTTATGTACTGAATTTCTCACCCTGGGCCAGCAGGGGGAATACTGTAAATAGTTTTTACTCAGGTCCACATATGCAAATAAGGGATCGAAAGTGATGTTCAGTGATTGGATAGATACAGAAAGTTGTTACAGTTACGTTGTACTGGAGCTCTATATAAGCAGGCTGGCTGAACCCTTCAGTTCAGTTCTGTTCTGGCCTGTGAATAAACAAGAGCTGTTTGAAGAATCGCTGTGTTGTCTGATATGTTCACCCACAACTTAACAGGGAGCTTGGCAGTAGATCCCCTGCTTTGCATGCAGAAGGTCCCTGTTTCCATTCTGGGAGCCTCTAGTTAGAAAAGGACATGGTCCGCAATGGATGATGGCCATTGGGACTGGTGAGGAGGAATGTGGAAAGATTCAGCACAGAGCAAAAGCAGGCCATCTTTTAGCACTGCATAGTGAAACTCTGGAGCTCACCTCCCAGTTTCTAACATTCATCTTTGAGAACCAAGGTACCACTGATCTTCTGTTGATGCAGCCTAGAATAGTGTTAGCTTTTTTTGCCACTGCATAACACTGCTGATTCACGTTAAGCTTATGTTCCAGCAATACCCTTCATGCTGTTGTGACCGCCATCATCCCATTTGTCCAGGGGTTAAGAACCTTCCGCTCTCTGGATGTTGTTCTCCTCCAGCTTCCATGAGCAACTGCGAGAGATGGGCAGCTTTGCCAATTCCAGGTTTCCGGGCCCCATTCAAGGTGCTCATAAGTTCGTGACTTGTAGAACTATAGAATCGTAGAGCTGGGACCCTGAGAATCATCTGTTCCAACCATCTGCAATGCAGCTGCCCCATACCGGGACCAAAGATGGAATTTTAGCTTCGTCGGCCTAAGGTAGTGCAGGCCTTTTGGCGCTGTGGGTTAAACCACAGAGCCAAGGACTTGCCGATCACAAGGTCGGCGGTTCGAATCCCTGCGACGGGGTGAGCTCCCGTTGCTCGGTCCCTGCTCCTGCCCACCTAGCAGTTCGAAAGCACGTCAAAGTGCAAGTAGATAAATAGGTACAGCTCCGGCAGGAAGGTAAACAGCGTTTCCGTGCACTGCTCTGGTTCGCCAGAAGCGGCTTAGTCCTGCTGGCCACATGACCCAGAAGCTGTACGCTGGCTTCCTCAACCAATAAAGCGAGATGAGCGCCGCAACCCCAGAGTCGGCCACAACTGGACCTAATGGGCAGGGGTCCCTTTACCTTTACTATCACAGGCTGAGCTACCTTGGTTTACAACCATAATCTGTTCCGGAGGTCTGTTTGTAAACCAAAACAGGTTGTAACCCAAGGTGCGCTTTTGCCAATGGGGCCTCCAAAAAAAACGTGTTCATAATCCCCCAAAATGGGTTGTAATCCAAAAAGAGGTTGCAAACCGGGACACGCATTTCCGGGGTTGACGTGTTTGTAATCCAAAACATATGCAAACCAAGATGTATGCAAACCAAGGTACCATTGTACGCAGGTGATGACTCGACAACGGCCCTCCTTGCCAACCCACCTCCAAAGGGAAGGTCAGGCGGATTGGATTCCCGTGTCCGGATTTAGATTCGGCATGAAGCCTTTCTATTGGTAAGGGAGAGGTTCTCTGCATACATCAAGGCAGCACCCTGAAGGTACATTCTTTCACCTTTGGTGGACGTGCCCAAGGATTTAGGCTTTCTGGGAGATGATTTATAATGAAATAAAAAAGGTATTTAAATATACCTTTCTGAAGAAACCAGAGGCCTTTCTTCTGGGCATTGTCGGCCAATTGGTGCCAAAGAAGGACAGAACTTTTTTATGTATGCTACAACAGCAGCAAGAATACTCATCACAAAGTATTGGAAGACACAAGATCTACCCACTCTGGAAGAATGGCAGATGAAGGTGATTGACTACATGGAATTGGCAGAAATGACTGGCAGAATCTGAGACCAGGGAGAAGAATCGGTGAAAGAAGACTGGAAGAAATTTAAAGACTATTTACAGAAATATTGTAAAATTAAGGAATCTTAGAAGGATGTTGGATAGAAACTAAGAGGTTTTTAGCTGTAATGCTTTAAGAGATATGAAAAAGGTTTACAATTGGGTAAAAGCTTAATGGTAAGGATTTGCTGAACTAACAAACTGAACTGGAATACAAAAAAGGGAGGTACGAGGAGGTCCGGGGAAATAAGTGTATGGAAGATAGGTTATGGAAAATTAATGTCTTTTTAACTGTTTTATTTTGTATGTTTCTTTTTATTCTTTACTTTTTTGTTATATTTTAAAATTTTTATTCTTTTTTCTGTATTCTGTATTTCTAGTATTTTTTGAAACTTTAATAAATATCATTTTAAAAAAAAGACCCCACTAACTGTCTTGCTATCTGATTGCTATCGATGGGTGGGTGGGGTACTAAAGATTCGCCCATCAGATCTCAAGTCTAGATTGTGGCTTCCTGGGGAAGGTGGAGTCCAGAGGGTGGACATAATAAAAGCTACGGAGTCAAGAGGCTGAAGAGATAAGCGCCAGGCATTTCCCTCCTTTTCAAGCATCAAGATGTGGAGACTCCGCCAGGTTCTTCTGCTACTGCTGTCCTTCTCCTTGGCCCAAACAGGTCAGTAAAACCCACTAACTCACGAACCCATTTCTACTACACTTTGGGGCCAAGCCAACCTCATTCCTTCTGTTTCTGATGCTTAGGGTGCTTTAAAGCCCTAAACGGCCTTGGTCCAGTATACCTGAAGGAGCGTCTCCACCTCCATCGTTCTGCCCAGACACTGAGGTCCAGTGCCGAGGGCCTTCTGGCGGTTCCCTCGCTGCGAGAAGCCAAGTTACAGGGAACCAGGCAGAGGGCCTTCTCGGTGGTGGCACCCGCCCTGTGGAACGCCCTCCCGCCAGATGTCAAAGAGAAAAATAACTACCAAACTTTTAGAAGACATCTGAAGGCAGCCCTGTTTAGGGAAGCTTTTAATGTTTAATAGGTTATTGTATTTTAGTTTTGTTGAAAGCCGCCCAGAGTGGCTGGGGGGACCCAGCCAGATGGGCGGAGTATACATAAATTATTATTATTATTATTATTATTATTATTATTATTATTAGGGTGTGAGTGCCATTTGTATGCCTAGATCAATGGCAGGGCACCCGCTTTGTATTGCACAACGGCTAAAGGTTCCATCCCCAAAATTCGGATCTCCAGGTTGGGACAGTGAACTGTTCTCCTGCCCTGCGGCTTTTATTTGGCAGATATAAAAACATACTAAAACATCAAACATTAAAAGCTTCCCAATCCAGGGCCACCTTCACATGTCTTCCAAAACTGACATACAGTGGTACCTCTGGTTAAATACGCTTCAGGTTACAGACGCTTCAGGTTACAGACTCTGCTAACCCAGAAATAGTACCTCGGGTTAAGAACTTTGCTTCAGGATGTGAACAGAAATCACACAGCGGCAGCAGGAAGCCCCATTAGCTAAAGTGGTGCTTCAAGTTAAGAACAGTTTCAGCTTAAGAACGGACCTCCGGAACGAATTAAGTACTTAATCCGAGGTACCACTGTAGCCCCTATCTCCCCTCTTACATCAACACATACACAACATGTAGGCTAATAGTTAGTAGAGAATATATAATAGAATAATGATATCATTCATATTGTAGGAATAAGCCAAATTGTAGGATTAACCCGAGGTACCACTGTAGTTCTTTATCTCCTTGATATCTGATGGGAGGGTGTTCCACAGGGCGGGCGCCAACCACCAAGAAGGCCCTCGGCCTGGTTCCCTGTGACTTTGCTTCTCGCAACAAGGGAAACTGCCAGAAGACCCTCAGAGCTGGACCTCAGGAGATGGGGTGGTGACTCTCCTTCAGATATAGAGGGCCAAGGCAGCTCCAGAATTTTGAATTGTGCTCAAAAACAACAGTGCTCTAGAATTTGTAAGCAGCAGGAGTTGCAGTTTATCTCTGCGTTTCCTTCTTGCAGATCCACTGCAGAGGCAGAATCCTTGCCCGAATGGAGCCATTCCTCACTCCAGACGCTACATGGCTGCCTTGCTGGATTACCAGAACAATCGCATCTGTGGCGGATTCCTGGTGGGACAACAGTGGGTCATGACTTCTGCACGCTGCAGAAAGTAAGTATCCCTAAGGCCTTCCTCTTTTTGTAGGAGTGGTGATCATCCAGGGTAAAGCTAATTGCTGGAAGGGAGCAGGGCAGGGCAGGAACGTGCCATTGCTCCGTCTAGTCAAGTTGCATGGGGTGAATTTCAACCTGTTACCTCTGAGGATGTGGACAGGCTGCCTGGAGTGAAATCAACCCCCTATCTCCTTGATCCTTGCCCATCCTGGCTCATAAAAGCGGTCCAGAGAGGGCTGGGCAATGGGCTCCGCGGGGTGGTGAATGCCTCCCTTTGTGAGAGAGCCTTCCCAGACCCGCTGAAGGAAACTGCTTCCTAAAAAAACCATCTTTGGACCTGGTCGCTATGGCCATCTCTCGCCCCATCTCAACTCTTCCATTCTTGGGGAGTGGATATTCGATGAGCAACTCCAGGCACACCTGGAAAATGCGGACCATTTGGACCCCTCCCTGCTGGGCTTCTGGGCCCATCGTGGGACTGAAACTGGCTTGGCCATGCTGGTCCATGATCTCTAGGGACAGAGGGGAAATCTGCTTCCTGGTCCTGCTGAATGTATCTTTTGATACTATCAACCATGACATCCTCCTGGACCATCTAGGAGGGCTGGGAGTTGTGGGCAGTTATACAGTGGTTCCTCTCCTTCTTCCTGGGCCGAGTCCAGAAAGTGGTGTTCAGAGATGAGTGTTTGGATCCCTGGGCCCTCACTTGTGGGGTACCACAGGGCTCTGCCCTGTCTCCCAGGCTTCTGCTTCTTCTTCATCCCCATCATTCAGCCCAGACACTGAGATACAACTCTGAGGGTCTACTGGAGGCTTCCTCACCGAGAGAAGTAAAGTTACAGGGAATCAGGCAGAGGGTCTTCTCGGTAGGGGTGCCCTCCCTGTGGAACGCCCTCCCATAAGATGTCAAAGAAACCAAGAATATTATGACCTTCTGTAAACATCTGAAGGCAGCCCTGTGTAGGGAAGCTTTGAATGTCTGATGTTCTTCTATATTCTGTTGGAAGTCTCCCAGAGTGCCTGGGGCAACCCATTCTGATAGGCGGTGTACTACTATTACTACTATAAATAATAATTTGTTATTAAGGGCCATGGGGTGGGGGATGGTCTCTTGCACAGGGACTGGGAGAACATTGATTCTTGGGATCTCTGACCCTGACTGTTGCTTCGTTTCCAGTGTTGATATGGTTGTCCTGGGAGCACATGACCTCAAACATGACGGAGAAACTTACAGAGTGGACAAAAACTACCCACACAAAGATTATACGTTTAAGAACAACACCTTTTCAAATGATATCCATCTGCTCAAGGTACCACACCCCAAGCCTTTTTCTCACTCTGCAAGCACCCCCGAGGGCCCCGATCCTGAAGGCAGAAGGAGCTAAATGTCTCCTTCCATCCCCATGTGTGAAATATAATGGAATCGTTCAGCTGAATCCAGCTCTTTGATCATTAGTATGATCGGATTATTATCACTATTTATTGTTGTTGTTGTTGTTTAGTCGTTTAGTCGTGTCCGACTCTTCATGACCCCCTGGACCAGAGCACGCCAGGCCCTCCTGTCTTCCACTGCCTCCCGCAGTTTGGACAAACTCATGCTGGTAGCTTCGAGAACACTGTCCCACCATCTCGTCCTCTGTCTCCCCTTCTCCTTGCGTCCTCCATCTTTCCCAACATCAGGGTCTTATCCAGGGAGTCTTCTCTTCTCCTGAGGTGGCCAAAGTCTTGGAGCCTCAGCTTCAGGATCTGTCCTTCCAGTGAGCACTCAGGGCTGGTTTCCTTCAGAATGGAGAGGTTTGATCTTCTTGCAGTCCATGGGACTCTCACTATTTATTAGAGTTCATTATAGTGGTACCTCGGGTTAAGTACTTAATTCGTTCCGGAGGTCCGTTCTTAACCTGAAACTGTTCTTAACCTGAAGCACCACTTTAGCTAATGGAGCCTCCTGCTGCCAATGCGCTGCTGGAGCACGATTTCTGTTCTCATCCTGAAGCAAAGTTCTTAACCTGAAGCAATATTTCTGAGTTAGCGGAGTCTGTAACCTGAAGCGTATGTAACCTGAAGCCTATGTAACCTGAGGTACCACTGTATTATGAACGCAGTTCTGCATTCATAAAGGAACAGGTTTCAAGGGCTTCCTATTGCAACGCAAAGGCGCTCATTTCTGCCTCATCTCCCTCTCCTTTTCCCAGCTGCAGTCAAAGGTTCATCTGAATGAAAACATTAGCATCCTGCCATTGCCAACATCTAGCAGAGACCTCTCTGAGCGGACACACTGCACTGTGGCCGGCTGGAGCCCGAATCAGGAAGATTGCCCATATATGCTCTATGAGGCCAATGCCAGCATCTATGACCGACGCAAGTGCCAGAAGTTCTATCCCAAGATCGACCGTGGAAAGATCTGTGCAGGCCGTCAGACTCAGTCATTTAGGCAGGTAAGCATCAGCAGAAACGGCAGGCGGCAGGACCAGAAGCAGGGGAGAAGGAGGAGCACCGTCCTGCGGACAGGATCCGCAGCATGGAAAAGGGAGAATGGGAAGCGGCGGTGGGAACCGGTGGAGGAAAATACGTAGAATGTGTATGTATGTATGTATGCATGGAAACTTCATAATAAATAGAAACCTAGGAAATTAGCTTTCCCTTCCCTCACCCCGGAAGATGCATAGGAACAGCTAAGTAATGCCTACTCTGGCAAACAGCAGCAGACATTTTTAGCCCTACCTGGGGATGCCATTGGGACATTCTGCATGCCAGGCAAGTGCTCTATCAGTGAGCTCTGGTTTTAACCAAATGAAGATTCCAGTCCTCATGGGTTTGAATGATTAGCTCAGCATTGTCACGGTTTCGGACGGGGTTGTCTCCCACTCAGCCACAGCTGCAGATGCTGCCACAGCTGGAGCCAAGCGAGGAAAGGGGATAACCCTCTTCTCCAGCAACATGGACGTGGGCAGAGGCCCGTCACTGGGCAGATGGGGATTGCTGCTCTTCATTTCGGTGCCTCAGGGCTGAGCCTCCAAGAACTGAATGCCCCCCTGTCACAGATGGTGGAATCATAGAAATGTAGAGATTGAAGGGACCCCCAAGGGTGGGGAGGTCCGCTCCCCCGCCATACAGGAATCTCAGGAAACATGTGCATGCCAATCCCCAGCCACACAGCTCCCCAAGTGACCCTGGGGCCTAGTAACTAGCTCCCAGCCTGGCCTACCTCACAGGGTTGTTTTCTGGATGACAGGGAGAGGAAGGGAAGCCATATTTGAGCTCCTTACAGGAGAAGGAAGTCTGTCAATACAATATGTATTTGTGTGTGGACTCAGAGAAAACTATGAAGCGATGTACAAAAGTGGGGAGCCGAGATTAAATATCAGGAAAATTCAAAACAAGAGAGAAACAGGAATTGGCAGGTTTGCCTATCTTGTTGCAATTCAAGTCCTCCTTGAGGTGGAGCCAAATCTTCCCCCACCTGCCATCTTTGCTTCCTTCCTTCCACAGGGGGAGATGGGTGATCCTTTGGTGTGCAACGGCGTAGCGCATGGAATCCTCTCCTACAGCAACCCCTGCCCTCCTGCCGTTTACACTCGCATCGCCCAGTACCTTCCTTGGATCAAGAAAACCATGGCCAAGTGAAGAGAAGAAGGAAGACCTCCTTCTTCTTCTCACCTTTAATGCTTCTGCTTGCTACATAAGCCGTTTGGCTTGAATCCTGCAACCACACACACACTGACCCCCCTCAACAGCTGCAAAAGTATCAGGTGTTCCGTACACGATTTGGTTTCCACAAGTTCCTTCAGTCCCTCCCCATCCCCTTCAAGAAAACCGCTCGCCTCCTTTCCCTGACCGTGTTCCCCATCATACCTCTTCCCCCGACCTTCACTGCTCCATCTCTCTCATCTGAAAAAGGTGTCCTTCTTCTCCTTTAGAACTGTTCTGTCCCTTCTCTCTCCCTGTCCCCATACGGCTGGAACAATCTCTCAGAGCGCCATACGCGTCTGACACCCTGAAGCGCCTCCTCCTACCCTACCTGGTTTCTCCTAAGGCAGGGAAAAGGGACCTCTGGCCTTCTCAATGCTGCTGAAATGCAACTCCCGTTATCCCTGGCCATTGGCCATGTTTGCTGCAGTTGATGGGAGTCCAGCAACCTTTGGAGGACCAAAGGTTCTCCACCGTTGTCCAAATGTCTGGACTGACCAAAGCTCCACAGATCTCCTCCTTGTCCTCTGGGTGAGGGGAGGCGGACCTGTCACCTTCCAGATGTTGTTGAACTCCAACTCCCATCAGCCCCAGACAACAGGGCCAATACGGGGAGATTGGAGTTGACATCCATCAACATCTGGATGGCCAAAATATTAACCACATCTCCCTTTAGATGATTCCACCTTCCTCCATCCTCCCTCTTCAGCCTGGTATAGATTTGGACGCTGCCTTCTGGGATACCACAGGGCCAGGACTGTGGGAATTTCTCACCCTGTTCCAGATGAGATATTTCATTTCAGCCCTAGGGGACTTGCTCTGTGCATTTCCTCGATGTCCAAATCACTGGTCTGAGCTCTAGGATTCCTAGGCAATCATACAAAAGACCTTGGCACCAAAAGTTGAAAGTTACCAGTTTACCATTTCACATGCCAAACTCCTCCAGGCTAATGGTTGTGGTGATGTTGTGGGACAGAGGGGAAATTAAATTCAGCTCAAAGGTAAGATTGAACCTTCCTCATTCATACTTTCTGGAATAAGATGCCAAACACAGCCATCCTTTCAAATTCGCCCTCCTCTGAATTTTGCAGTTTGGCTCTCCAGGAAAGTTTAGTGCACAAAAATGCAGATACTGGAATGAGGTGTGTCCGTCAGTGTGCGTAGCAGTGAAAGGAGCCTGCCCCAAATGCCTTATTTTGGGGGAATCGCTTTGCAAAAGATGCGCCAGTTTGGCAAACTTGCATGCAACTCTGTATCTCAAGATTAATTCACAATAAACTGCTAATGCATCCACACAAATGTGTTGTTGTTGTTCTCAGCAAACTGGAGAGGGGGGAAGTGCGCCCTTGCCAGCGCCCATTCTGCGCAGTATGCTTCGGTGCAGGGAGGGCGGAAAAGGCCGGGGGTCACACGGCTTTTATGCTAGGGGAGGTACAAAGGCCGAGCACTCTCAGATTCTGCTAGCGCTTGAGCCAGACATGAACTTAGGACGCTCTTCACTGTAAATAGGTTGCACCAAGAATAAGGCCTGGAAAAGACAGGTTGGAGTCTTGCCTGTTTACTCTTGAGCAACCACACCACCTTCTGACATTGGCAATTGGCCCTGTAGGTGTGTCTTTAATTTAATTGCACTACAGTCCCTGCTCCCACTTGGTTCAACGATACTGACGCGTCAAGGGGGCCACTTAAGAGGAAGCCCCGCCTGAGCCCCCCTGAGGCGGCCAGGTGTTATAGGACACAGTCCTTTGGGGTAAAGCCACTTCCGAGCTAGGGAGGAGGTGGGGTTGTGGGCTTCACGCCCCTCCCCACACACGTGGAATCCGCGGACGCATCACCCCGTCCAGCCAATCGGCTGGCCCGGGAGGCGTGGCTGGCTCTATTTAGGGCGGCGCGGCCGAGGATCTCCCTCTTTCCCATGCCACAGCTGACCTGGTTTTCCCTTCCCTCCCACCCTTTAGGCTAGGCTCTCTGACATTGCTATGGACTTCGGTTGGTCGCCATCAAGGGGCTGGTAGGAATTTCTTCCAATTGGCAGATTGGCACCAGCCACTTTGTTTTCGCCTACCTCGTAGCAAACCGTCACAACTCCCAGTATGGGCGGTTAGGCATTGGTGGGGGTATTATTATGCAGATGATGGGGGGGGGGAGGAAGCGCCATCACCTTCCCCCCAAAACAAAGGGTAGTCCGGTAAAGTATTCCGGGGAGCATGGCCTGGTCCTAAGCCTATGGAGGTGTGGGCCCACAGCACGCCCCTGAGCGGTGACCCCGGGGGAGCTCCTAGTTGACGTGCATCAGTGGGACTCCCCCTACTGGTGGTTAACCCTTACCGGTCTTCAAGCAAGTGGACTGAAGCCGGTTAGTTGATGGGACCAATGCCTAAACCAATACCGCTCAATTCCTGTAATCAATAAAGTTGTGGCCTAATTTGACCCATTAACTCGAATTCTTGTGTCTCGTGTCTTTATTTCTGCGGGGGAGGCGGGAACTCGCCACGCAACTAGACATTTTTACCTCTTGGTTATGGCAGGGACACAAGGGCAGCCTGTCTATGTCAAGGTAGTTGAAGTCGCCCATGCCTACGGCATAGACATGGATGGACAAATTGTCCACTTTTATCCCTTCCAGCTTCTTCTTTTTCCCATCATAAGTTCAGTTATCCAAATATCTGTATAAGTTTGCAGGCTTGTTTTTTTTTTTAAAGAACGGATGGAAAACTCATGAAAATTCAACAGCATTTTAATGTGAATTTCTTTGGATACACACTTTTGTATGCAATTGTGCCACAAATTCACATTTTTTTGCAAAGCAATTTGCTGTAAGATAATGCATTTTTGGCATGCTTTTTTTAAACTATTCCTTGCATCAAAGGACACACGTTACCCCCATTAAGTGCATTCCCATAAACATGACTTGGCTGGGACCTAAACTGCAAAATCTGGAGAAATGTGAATTTTGGAGGATGACTGTTTTTGGTGTGAACCTTGTTTCAAAAAGTGTGAACTTTCAATCCAGGCTGAATATTAAATGTCTCCTCCATTCCTACAATATATCACAACAACCCACAGCCTAGGGGAGTTTTGTGAAATGGTTATTTGTGAGATGTTGTGGGTGCCAAAGTGTTTTGGATCTGCATCTAGGAAACCTAGAGGTTAGGGTGGTCTTTGGGGGGCTGATGAAATACAGAGAGGATCCCTTTAGAAATGAGATAGAGTCCTTCCCTGTTGGCTGAGAGGACGACGTCCCACATCCCTCAACCTCAGCGTTTCCGTGCGCTGCTCTGGTTCACCAGAAGCGGCTTAGTCCTGCTGGCCACATGACCCGGAAGCTGTACGCCGGTTCCCTCGGCCAATAAAGCGAGATGAGCTCCGCAACCCCAGAGTCGGCCACGACTGGACCTAATGGTCAGGGGTCCCTTTACCTTTACCTAGAAGTAAAGAGCTAGTTTTCCCTGGGAAAGGAGTGTGGCAAGGGGAAACTGCTCAGACAGGACAAGCAAGCCCTAAGTCATACTGAGAGCAGACCCGCTGAAATAACACTCATTGTGTCTCATAATATTATGGGATGCCGCCCTAGGTCTGGTTCACATTTTGAACACAAGCAGAGCTAATTTATTCTTTCTGAACTAATAACGGAACTGAAATTCGGTTACCTTTGATCACATAGTTATCTTTGGCCACTCAGTTAATATATACATAGTAGAGTACGTTAGCAGAAAGAGCACCTATAAATGCATATATAGTGGTACCTGAGGTTACATACGCTTCAGGTTACATACGCTTCAAGTTATAGACTCCGTTAACCCAGAAGTAGTACCTCGGGTTAAGAACTTTGCTTCAGGATGAGAACAGAAATCGTGCTGCGGCAGCAGGAGGCCCCAATAGCTAAAGTGGTGCTTCAGGTTAAGAACAGTTTCAGGTTAAGAACGGACCTCTGGAACAAATTAAGTACTTAACCCGAGGTAGCACTCTATTGGTAAAACTGATGTACAAAAATGCATTTAATTAGGAAGACATTGCCTACCAAAATGTGTATTGTGAGAAATGTATATGGTGTCTTTTCAGTTTGCTCCTGCAAAAGAGGACATTTTTTTGATTAATCATAAAAATAATAGGGCCATAAGAAAAATTGCAGCAGGGGTGTCTAAGGCTATAGGAATATTGCAGCCAGGGTGTGGGTGGCTGTTTTTAGCATATTTCAAACTAGCTGTGGTCAAACTTTCTATAGGGTGTTGTTTCTTTAGAAATCACGGGGCTGGGGACTTTTTGAGAAATACAAGTCGTTGCAAAATTCTGAAGAAACAGAGTATCTTTAGCAACCGTGGTCTTGATGCTTGCCCAGGTGGGAGATGCCTGGCACTTAACTCTTCAGCCTCTTGACCGACGTGGGTTTTATTACCTCTGGTGGAACAAGAGGAATCATGCAGGAGCCCTTAGCACAGGGTTAAGCAAACTTTTTCAGCAGGGGGCCGGTCCACTGTCCCTCAGACCTTGTGGGGGGCCAGACTATATTTTGAAAAAAGGATGAACGAATTCCTATGCCCCAGAAAAAACCCAGAGATGCATTTTAAATCAAAGGACACAATCTACTCATGTAAAAACACACTGATTCCTGGACCGTCCGCAGGCCGGATTGAGAAGGCGATTGGGCCGGATTCGGCCCCCGGGCTTTAGGTTGCCTACCCATGCCTTAGCAGGATGCTCAGGCTTGTTGGATCTCCCAGCACAGACCTTCCCATCATTGAAATCTGAGGAGAACCTACAGCCAGAGATGGTGACATTGGTCTCGTAGATGCACTAATCTAGGATGGGGCTATAGGATCTGGCTTACTAGCAGTACGTGTGAAAAGGATCTAGGGGGTCTTGGTGGACCACAAGCTGAACATGAGCCAACAGTGTGATGCAGCAGCAAAAAAAGCTAATGCAATTCTAGGCTGCGTCAACAGAAGTCTAGTGTCCAGATCAAGGGAAGTCATAGTCCCGCTCTCTTCTGCCTTGGTCAAACCACACCTGGAATACTGTGTCCAGTTCTGGGCACCCCCTGCTCAAGGAGACCTCTGA